GGGGGGGGGGAAGAGAAGCAAAACAAAATACACGAAAAGACTAGTGATACAAAAGCCCCCCACAAATGATAACCGCCGTAGACCTGACCATCTTCGGTGTCCCATCCCATTTACCTGCCCAATTTCCTAAATTGAAAGTTACTCTGTTGCATTACTGAACGAGTAATCGGAGAAAAGAAAAAGAAAGACCCCATTGAAATCATACGGGATATATTGCATAATTCTCCCACATTTTCTCCCTTCAGTCATCATGTTTGTCAGTTTCGAAATAGAACCTGCCTAGCTTATCGCCTCGGCCTGGGCTGCCCATTCCCGATGGACCAGCTCTGGATTCGCCGCTATCCAGCCGCTGCACGATTCTCTCTGCAGCTTCTCTGGTAGGCTGCTGTCGGCCTACGGGCACTGGCCCTCTAAAGGTTGTGTCCACAAAGACATCTTGATCAGGGGATATAGGGTTCGTGGGGGGCCCGTCTGTAGCAACGCCGTCCATCATGCGAGCGTACTGCCGCTCTTGAGCAGCTGTGGCGCTCATTGGCGTGTCGCCGCCTCCAGACAGGTACGAATCTCTCTCGCGCCGCGCATCACTCATGCCCGAGTTGGTCCTCTCGAGACCCCATTGATATGCAGCGCCGGGGGCTGGCCGTCGGTGGTATATGGGCCCAGAGACAGTGCTGCCGGCTCCTTCGCCGAAGCCAACGAGAGAGGCAGAGCCATCGTCGCTCATTCTGTCCTCGAAGCCGCCCATGGAATGTGCGCCCATGCCTTCGAGGTCCTCGTCCATGGCATCTTGATCGACGCCGGTGCTTGTCACCGACTCGCCCTCGCGGTAGTTTGTATCCGTACTCAAGATATCCTCGTCGCGATCGCCAACGGTGCGCCGGTCTTCGCTGTCTGCCAGATGGCTCTCGGTTGCACTAGCGGTCCCGACGGTGCTCATCTTGGTCACTGCGACAGGCTGTCCATTGCTGTCAAAGTACGCTGGTGTGAGGTGCTGTGTCGCAGGGTAGTTGAGAGGAAAGCCGGCTGTCGACGTGGGCGTCGTCTGCGGAGACAGCGACGATGCGCGGCCACCCGTGCTTGTTGGATGCGGTGCGGCTCGCAGCGTCGACACCCGCTCGAGGCCGGCCAGGCGCGAGATGCGATCGGCCCTCTCGGCTTCGAGCGTCGTCGCGGATGGATTGTGTTGGTGGCCGCGGAAGTAGGGCCCGGCGTGGAAGTGGCCGCGATGGCCGTCCTTGATGGCGGTTGTCGAGATGGCAGAGAGCGATGTCGTGGTGCTTGTTGGCGTGCCGCTGGTCAAGAGCCTGTGTCAGCGTTTCTATTCTGCGAATCCAGCTGGGGGTTCTACGCATCGAACAACATACGGAATCTCCGAGGGAGTCTCGGGGTTAGGGTCTGGCGGAGGCAGATTTGCCAGCGTCGGATGTGAGGCTTGCGCCATTGCGGTATCTGACATGATGGGCGATCGTTCTTTGTGACGTTTTGCGCTTTGCGACAGTCAACGGCGCGGGGAGGGACTCGAGGTCACCACAGAGTGTGCGGCTTTGTTGCTCGCAAATGATGTATCAAACGGTCGTAGCTGATGGATGGCGAGAGATGAAGCGATGTGACGGTCGATGGAATTTGCTGAAGATGGAAGAGCGCTTGTGCCGGCAAACGCGATGATGTTGGTTTAACGTTGAGGTTTCGGGAGAGGTGGATGTCACTGGCAAAGATGTTTCACGCCACCCTTTTTGCTGGTTTGCGTGGACTAGGTTTCGGGTCCCGAGGACGCTCAGCTTGGGCCCAATGCTGGAGCCTCAAGCTAATGGTTCGCTCCACAACTCTTTATGCGGAGAAGCTTCCTCTTTTTTCCTTCTTCTTGAGCGAGGCTTTGTTGATTCGTTTCAGGGTGGTTGAGATAGTTCGATTGTTTGCGTCCTGAGACAGGTGTGCCGATATGGCTGGAATTGGATAAGCTACATGCACCTTCAGTTCTTACAGAGCAACGTAGTAATAATGAACTGCGAAATCCAGCGGAATAAGCAGCGATGGGCATTAAATACCTATGAGTCGATCTAGCAGATGGCTAGAATTTCTTTATCTTTGTCCAAGTCCATGTTCTTTTCCTTTTCTACGTTTTCATCTTAAGCGAGCTTCAGAGGGGCGTACAATGACGTAGCTTCCGCCAATGGGAAGTTCAGAGTCTGATGCCGGCTTAGGCAATGTCATAGGCCCACAATACAGAAGCAATCGAAAAAAAAAAGGGATCATATGAATGCCAATCAATATTCATCACGTCAACCTACGCTGTAAAGTCTGAAAGCATGCAATCATACAATTTGAAGGCCAAATACCACCAGCAAACCTTTTGGCGACGAAGAAAGTTCAGTCTGCTCCTCCAGGGTTACCAACCACATTTTCCGTATACTCTGTAACGCCTCCAAGAGCCCACCCGGGTTGGGCAATATTATTTCAGAATTTGCCTTACAATCAAGGCTGAAGTGATTTTTAGAGAGTAAGAATTTTAGACATGAGAAGAAGAGTAAAAGATGAAACGAAATGGAAGTAGTACGCTCTTTCGCGTGTACTTAGAGGATCATCATACCCCCGCTTATCAGCGCGAATGACAGGCTGAGGAGGACAAATCCAGGCTCTTGCATGACAATTTTTCTCAAGTCGATATTCAGTGTCAAGTCGATGTTTAATAGCCGTCTATTTGTGCTCTTAGAAGGCGAATTGTTTATAGAAGACGGCGACGCGACCGTGGAGCTATTGACGACGGTGACATTGACATTGTCGCGGTATACCAAAAGATCGCTTTGCCTGCCATAAATAGGCGTCACCACCACTTCAGCTGAGAGTGCGCCATAGTCGGCAAAGGCAAGCCCACAGAGGACTAATAGAAGTGCAACAAAGTTGAATAGCTTAGAAGCCATCTTGAAGTATTTTGTGGGACGACGAAATGGTATTATTCGTGTTCGTTATGTGGAATGGAGAGTGTCTTGCGTCTGAGCTTTGTGTACGTGTAGATCCAGCAACGACTCAATGGCAGTATCAGTGGCACGTAGAATGATGTATAAGAACGAGATGTATGAGTGGCAAAAAGAAAGAAAAATGGAGTTCACTAGAGTATGAGGGAGTAGCTTCTGCTTTATCTTTTCGACGTGCAGAGTGAGTCTCTGATATATTGATTGTTTCTCAAGATAAGCCCGGCAGCGACTGCGTCAAGAGCGGCTGGCTTTGATAAAGGGAGACAATGCAATTAGACACCTCGCATCCGATCCTGTACCCGCGCGACTTTGGAGGGCGACTCGGAACGGAGGGATGCATGCTGTTTATAAATAAATAAACGAATCAGTAGATAGTGCGAAAGCACAGATATGCGGGAAATCCAAACGTTGCCGGCGCGCAAGCGGGAGGAGAAGCTGGCTTGTCTGATATCATGGAGAAGGGCGATGGACCAATCTCAGGTACAGCGGCTTAACGGCCTTTCATGCATACCAAAAGTAATTCTGCAGACCATTCCTTGGGCTAATGCATATCGAGACAGGCATCTCTTTGGTCTGTAAGATATCACTGCCTCAGTTCATTCCCACTTGGCCTTGGGTGGCCAGGGTCGATGATTAATTTTTCGAGCCGTTGCATCAACCCCGGTTGTTCTTATTACTGCGAGTCAAGCTATGTAAACCTTCGGATCCAGTGTTTGCTGTTGACGATGGAGGTTCTGGGGAGCAATGGCAGATTGCTGCCATCTCGTCCTCTATAAAGGCCAATCCAGGCAGAGGAAATTACATAAAACCTGCATCTTCCACACATCGTAGCAAAGATCATCATCACCATCAACACCTCTCGTCGCTTCCCAACACCACAATTGGCGTAACAATCGCGTAACAGCTGCGTCGTCGTTTGTTCTCAGTCCCCCGTCGATGCGGCCAACGGCAAACCGGGTGAAACCGCTAAGCACTGCTAACACTGCAGACAAGCGGGGTGGCCAAAACTCTCTTGTGAGATTTTCAAAATCCAAAAGCCGGTATATGCAGGTTCCCAGTGCTAGCTGGCGATAAGGATCAGGTGCTTGCGAGTTCTTGGTGGTATTTGACTTCTGATGGCGGGAAGACGAGAGGGACTGGATGGTTTGATGCATGCATGCCAGTCACATCGCGTCCATAGTGGCCACTTATCACTGCAGCTAACCCGTACGAAGCTCTGCTGGGACGCTGGGCTAGTGGAGCGGGGGATCAGAACTCATATCCAGCCGTCTAATTTGCAGCGTGTATGGCATAGCTCTTGGTATTTCATGCATTGTCATGCCTCTGCTGCCGTTGGAGGGACGTTCTCGTAGCTCTGTTCTTTCTGCCTGCAACCTTCATATACCCTTGCTACAAGTAATAAGGATCTAGACAAAAAGAGAGTGTAATAGCCCTGCTATTCCATGGTTTCATTGATGCATTTGCATGAAAACCAGAGGCGTCAACAGGCACCTAGTCTTGAAAATCATATGGCGATATCCGGGCAATACCTGCAGGAAGCAATATAGTAGCGTGCCGCTAGTCATTGGTGCGTGTTTATTAGGCCCATCTCGCCACTTGGAGCTTCGCATCGCATCGCTCTCGGCTCCAAGTCCAGGCTCTCCACCATTCCGTGCAGAGACATTGACTTTGCTGCCCCTGGATCTGGAATGCACACGCTCGTTTGAACAATGCTGGGTTGATGGATAAAACTGGCCGTATCTTTTGTCGTCCCTTCTCCAGTTCTTCTCTTGTTCCCCGCTGAGTCAACGAGACTCGCCAAGCTGTCTTACTCTTTTTGTATATCAATCCTTCTGATGCACGGAGGCCGTTCTCTGCCTCAGAGCCGCGCGCTATAGCCAGCTACCTAGTCGATAGTTCAGTATGCAGCCAATAGAGAGAGCTGCCTACGCTCTGGTCCTACCATCCTCTCAGCTGGAGGCTCAGCTAGGCATCATCGCCATGGGGAAAGCCTTATAGGCTGTCTGTGCGTTTCAGCAGTCATGCGACTGCTTGCAGCCTTGCGGCCTCTCTTAGCTTGTAAAATACCGCCTGTGCATCACAATCAGCGCAGAAGCGCTTCGTGCAATATCGCATCTTCTTTTCTGCAAAGGCATCGTGACCATTGGCCCTGACGCCTAGCTGAGATTCAGTATTGTCCAGTGCCGCAACGTATTAATATGGTGCACTTCAATCTGGAACTCGTCTGGATCTCTCAGGCAAGCCCGCAAGTTGAGTGAGTTGCCCTGTAGCCTGCGTGCTCGCACAAAATCACAAAGGCACGGCTAATCCTGTTTCTTCAGCCTCGTTTTCGTCCATGGATACGGTGGCAACCCAGAAACAACATGGCATGACGAATCTACGGGTAAAATCTGGATCAAGGACGAAGAGTTCATTACCCGAATAAAGAGGCCGATCCGCATCTTTTCCTTCAGCTACAACGGCGAAGTAGAATCAAATCTATCATCCTCCAGCCTGGCTTTCCATGCAAGCGACCTGCTCTGCTGCTTGGAGCAAGCTCTCGAGAGATCCACCGTACGGCTCTTGATGCCCTTTAGCTGGACATAATTTCTTACTCTATACCACCAGGGACGGCCACTGATATTCGTTGCCCACGGCTTTGGAGGCAGCATTGTTAAAAAGGTCGGTTTGAGACAACTAGATAGCCTGCAACTATCTGCATCTTTCATGTTTCAGGAACTGGTCAAGCCATTAACTGGTGCTGTATCTACAGGCAATTCAGCTATGTTTCGTGACACCAGGATATCCGCAGACAAAGAATGCGCTGGCTGGCGTGGTCTTCTTCGGCACTCCTCATACGGACACGGATTCCGAAGCACTCGTTCAGGCCGTCAAGGGCACCGTCGACGCTTTTGGCTCTGAAGATGGCGCTAGAAGCGAAGATATCAGGGAATACGTTTCCACAGCGAGCCGCATCAACGCTGCTTTCATCTCTTGCAAACCAAGCTACCTGAGGACGCTCTCTTTCTGGGAGAAAATGCCATCAAAATCCATTGGACCAAGTTCAAACATGCATGACCGTCCTGTATGTAAATCTACATCCGTGAAGAAAAGCATTCTTACTGATGATTTCGTAGATCGTCTCCTTACAATGTCAGAAAGAGGACTTGCAAGGCAATATCGATCACATAATGGAATGCAGCCACGAGGAGTTGCCTCGGTTCTCAAGCGTATTCAGCGACAGATTCATACAGTTTATGGAGATATTTTCTCAATTTTTGGTGGATACCCTCTCCGAACGCACCGTGACAACAGTTCCGAGGCCTTTCCCGCGTCCGCCATCAGACATTCGTGAAAGCCGATTCCCAATTGAAGAAATACCCATTATAAGGAGGCCTGGCCCTATTGTTAAGAGCCGTCGAAGAATCTGGAAGACGAGCGACGATGACCATCAAAGCCCAGAGCGTCGGAAAAAGGACAAAGAAGACAAAGCTTCCAGAGAGCAGTTTCTCCAATCACTACGCGGCTGGTCCGAAAGTAATTATGGAAACGAGATTTTCGTCGCAGCTGGCACCTGTGAATGGTTCAAAGACGGGTCCATCTACAAGAATTGGCTAACTGACCCAAAATGCGGCACGCTCTTCTACATCGGAGCCCCTGGACATGGCAAATCGCACCTGGCACGTGCTATTTTCACCCATCTCAAGTCCTCGAAGCCAGACGATATTGTGTTGGGATATTTCTGCCAAAAGGGCGAAGAAAAGCCTGCCATTTGGGAGTATTTCACTTGGAAGCTGATAAAGGAGTGGCCGTACTCATTCACTCACGTACCGGCTCAATTCCGACGCACAACTGATGATGCCAACCCTCGCCTTGATTCATCTGCGTACACTGAGATATGGACTTCGTTTCGGAAAGCCTGCTCCCCTCGTACCATATACTTGATCGTGGATGGATTAGAGCAGACACCTCCCGCAAATTTCGCCGAATTCTTCGCTTTGATAGAGCAACTAAGAAAGCCGGTGGTGTTAGGGCCCGAGAATCGAATAAACAGCGTACAGGAAATGCCGACAAAGATTAAGCTTGTCATAACGAGCCGGTGGACAGACGCTACTTTTACAGCTTCAAGCACGACCTCTTGTTGTTCTTTGCCCAATGACGACTTAAAAAGGGACGTCTCGCTTTATCTCGACAAAAGATTCCTCACTATTTCTAAATCTAGACCGAAAACCGTGGACGAACACCTGATACGCAGGGTTCAGGAGCGTGTTACTCAGAAATCAGGGACCTACTGGCTCTTTGCCAAGCTTGCAGCAGATGAGATTGAGAGTTCGAGTGCATTGAACTCTATCCAAGAACTCCGCGAGGATTATATCCCAGTGGAGCTGGCACGGCTGTACGAACAGAAGATGCTGCCTTTACTGCAATCTGCCAACAACAGCGAAAGACACCTGCGCACAGTCCTAACCTTGATTGCTTCAGAAGATAATAGCATCGCATTTTCCCTCAAACAGCTCGAGAGCTTTATACAGTGCATCTATGGTCAAGACGATATGCCTGTGGAAAGCCTTGCAAAATCCATACAGACTTTCTGTGGAGACCTGTTCTGGGTCAGCCCAATTGATTCTCTTGTGTATTCTGTACATGCCTCTGTTAGGGGCCATCTTGGCAAATATCTCACGGTGGAACACAGACAAACGAACATTGTTTTCATTTGTCTCAAATATCTGCTTCAAGACTCCTTTCGCACCACCCTGCCTCTATCTTTCAGCGATAGAGATGGAACGGTGGAAAGAATGAGCAAGAGAGCGGCCTTTTATGGATTTGCGGCCCAAGGCTGGATAATCTATCTTGCTAGGCTGGATACACTCAGCCCCCAATTAGTACCGCTGCTACAAACATTTCTATCAATGGACTGCCGCCAATATCGGACGTGGCTCCATTGGAAGTCATGGATTTTCAAGGAAGAATTGGGAATGATCGAGGAGATTACCGAGGATCCAATCATGGTCATGGTCCGAGAGGGATGTCTCGCTGTAATCCAGCATTTCTTTCCGTCTTCAACAGCTCCTCGTGCTACTTTAAAGAGCAAATTCGAACTCTTGGCGAAGCACATGCCGTTTTCAAGCACACAGCCTCCCCATCCACTTGGTGTGCAATGGCCTGATATCAAAGGGGTACATGAACAGACTATTTTGATGGCAGCGGCACTAAGTGGAAATCCTGCTCTAGTGGAACATGTTCTACAATGGGATGTCGATATAAATGCTCAAGATGACGGTGGAAGAACTGCCCTCATGCTATGCCTTACCTCAGATCAGTTAATGGGAACAAAAGCGGTGGGCAAGAAAACCGATGTTTATGCCGTCGTTGAACTGCTGCTACTACATGGAATTGATCCAAGAATGAGCGAACATCACGGCATTACTCCCTTGCACGTTGCTTGTGTGCGTGGAAGATTCGATCTAGCTGAGCTTCTTCTAAGGTTCAATGCTCCGATCAACGTTACAGACGAATGGGGATTTACACCACTCGAAAGGGCATATGGTGCCGGGAATATTCGAATTATTGAGATGCTCATCGGTCACGGTGCGGACGTAGAGGCATGGATGCTAGGCGGAGAACCACCGCTAGCAAAATGCATATATGACGGAAAGCTTGAAATGTTTGAGGCCTTTCTTCCGTTTGCAGATATCGACCAGGCGACTATACTCGGGTTTGCACCAATCCATCTTGCCAGCGATGGTGCTGACAGGATAGAGTTTCTTCGCCTTCTACTTGCTAGGCCTGGGCTACACATAGATGCAGTGAGCTCGGCAACCGATCGATTCCATATCAAACGTGCGACGGCCATTGGCTTTGCCATCAACAGTCGCAACTACACTGCGCTAGAGTGGCTACTTGAGGCCGGGGCACATCCAGGACTGTTGCCAATGGTCACTGTGCCGCCACTTCACGAAGCCATCATGGTTAAAGATAGGGCCATGATAGAGCTGCTGTTATTCTATGGCGCTCCAGTGAATGAATCCAGACGCAGCTGGTTTCCGTTTACTGCGCTGGGACATGCAGTGGATCTTGGTCTTGAGGATATTGTCGAGCTACTCCTAAAGAACGGTGCAGATGCCTCTGTGGAAGAAGGATATGGGGTTACCGCCTTGATTGAGACGGCTGTGTCGAGGAAGCGTCCTATTCCTAAGATAATAAGACAGCTGATGGAATCGCGGAATCCTCCCGATGTCAACTACATCCGAGAGAACGAGCAACATTGTGTGATGAGCGCCGTTGGTCAAGGTGATGCTGAGACTGTTTCTATCATACTAGAGTATGGGGCAGACTTGAGCAAATATCTCCAGTCAGGCAAAACAGTATCACCCCTTCACAATGCTGCTAGGTACGGCCATGTCAAAATTTGTGAGATTCTGTTGCAGCACGAACCTGCGTTTCTTAACCTTCAGATAGAGAAGGGATTCATGATTGAACCTCCCTTGTTTATGGCATGCCATCGAAAACGGAAAGAAGTTGTTCGCTTCCTGTTAGACAAAGGAGCCAAAGCAGATCAGCTCAGCTATTACTATAAGGAGTCTCCCCTATTCACCGCTTGTGATGTAGGAGACTTGGAAATCGCCAAAATGGTCCTGGAAGCCGCGCCGCAGATGATCAATGTCCCCACTGCCTTCAACTGCACCCCTCTAGTATATGCCTGCGAGCATGGGAATGTTGAGATGATTAAGATGCTTCTCGAAGCAGGAGCAGATATTTACCTCCCACATGGCAGTACAACGAACGCTTTTAGCCGACTGTTTGAAGCTAAAGGCGACAAGGCTTTCAAAATACTGGATCTACTACTCAGCAGTGGTTTGGATATCAATGCCGTCGATAATGAAACTGGGCTTACTATCCTTGGAATGGCTATTGTAGACGCCGAAGCAAGGCATGTCAAATGGCTTCTTGAGCGTGGAGCCGATCCAGTACGTGCGCAAAGGAGTGCCGGCCGAGAAGAGACATGGCGTACAGCCCTTCAACTTGTTTCTCATACGAGCAATAAGAAGGCCCCAGGTATCATAGACTTGCTTTTTGAGCCACGATGGGGGCTGTTGGACCATCTAACTCACAAGGACTACCATGGCGGTACTCTTTTCCCCATACTTGGTCAGTCTCGAAAAGCACTGCCAATCACTCCCCGTCTGGTCTCAGTATGTGATACCATCTTCAAAGAAACGGGGAAAGACATTTTCTCCGACCTCATAAATGAACCCAGTATCGCTGGACTCACTCCGATCGATTGCGCCATGAATGATTTCGCCGCCAAGTCATCTGCATTGCCCGAGCTGGACAAAAAGCTTCTCTCTAGTATCAATGAGCTTCTGGAAGGTCCTCGCACGACAGAAGACCATTTTCTCATACTGGACTACGTTCTTAGTCTTCTATTCGCACGCGAAGATGATGTCGACGCAGATACAAAGGTATTGGCCAAATTTGTCCTTGCAAGGCCGCAAGTTGGCTGGGATGACGATGGATGTTACATGGGTTCGGTGGCTCTGCAGGTGTGCGCTATCTGCGATGAGTCGATTTACGATCCTTATGTCTATTGCCCCCTTTGTGAATCTTCATGGTGTTCGGGATGCAAAGATAGGTGCGAAGTGAATAGCTTACACAGGCATAAATTGCTTGATATTGAGCTTCGGAAAGACTTGGATATCAACGCACCTGACATTCAGGAAGTTTTGGAAAGATTACAGAAGAAGATATCAAGCGGCACATCAAGCGAGCCGACATCTCAACGGGTACAGAACAGCGAAGAGCTCAGCGAGGGCCCCATCATCAATAATCTCGCTTCTTCTGAAGAAAGCCTGCCTCCTACGCGTGCCCAAATTTCTCTACAGCTCGCCACCTTGCATGCGTTCAATTTCTTGGCCATCAGTCGACCTATCTGGACGCCGTTCCTTCCGCTGTCTCCCGCCGCCCAAGCGCTTGTCGATCCCTGGCAGAAATTGTGGTCACAAGAGGACGGGTACTGCCAGATGCAGAGCTTCATGCAGAGGAGAACCATGAATTATGAAAACTCTGCATGGAGGCGCTTCCAAGAACTACAGTACTTGAGACGAGGATTCACAAGAGCTTATGCGGATGAGGAGGGTGTGAAGAGGGATTTTGTGTTGCGAGATGTGTGGAGATTATTTGCCAATGAAAAACGAATCAAGGAGAGAGTAATGGTGGTAGAGGATTGTTGAAGCCATAGAGCGAGTATGGAAAAGGTGAAATCATAGAGGTTGACGAGATAAGATTGCAATCTTTCGTTTTATACAAAGTTGGGAAATTACGAATCTTATATAGAAAGGACGACACGATATGCACGATACACGATATAACGAATGATGATACTAAAAAAGAATTTCAAAAAATACCATCTTTATTATCTTAAATGGGTTGTTCTAAAAGTGACTCTAATATGTCATATTCTCGTATTCTCTTTCTCTGACGACAAAGCATGCCAATCAACCGCATTAATCAAGTAGCCTTGGCAAGCCAAAATCCATCCCATAAATGTCCGTCTTTTTCATTATTTCCATTATATCCTGGTCTTTACCAGTGCAATATCGCGCGTCTTGAGTTTTCGCATTAAATCGTATATCTGTAATGAGGACTGTCGTCTCCCAGCTCCTTGAGCTCTTCCTCTAGCAAACCCTCGTGTTCTCGCGGCAACTCGCCCGCATCACGACGCTTGTTCGTCTTCCAGAGCCAGTACCAGAGAAAGCCGTATATGCAGATTCCCACGCCGACCATGCTGAGCGAGACGGCATGGCCGCGAATGAAGCGAGGTTTATCGAGCGCAGGGCTACATGGCGACGGTGGTTAGCAAAACATGTCTTGTTCATATACCAACAAACGCCTTTTGAGGGAAGAAACTTACTATATGAATGCAGACATGATTCCAGAGGCGTTTCCAAAAGTAAGCTGCAAACCCGTCGCAGTTGTTCTTTTGCCATATCGAGGGGAATTATTCGGCAGCTATTTATACAGATTTGTTAGATGTCGCTTATTTCCATGGGAATGAGAGTTTCAAGCTTACCCAAGCGATTGGAAGACCAACGACAACGTATAAACCACCCGCAACAAGAAAACATCCGAAATAGTGCACTCCAGGAGCCGAGTCGGACAACAAGACACCATAGCCGATGATGCTGATACAGCCAAAGAGGACACAGAATATTCCTCGCATCTGGAATTTATCGGAGAGCATAGCAATGATCATATAGGTCACCGCTCCGAGGAAGTAGCACGGGATGGTGAGAAGTTGGACTTGAGCAACGCTCCATTCACCGAGAGCATCAATGATTGTGGGCAGGAAAGTCGAGAACCCTATCGATGTTTAGTGAGCATACCAAGCCATAGAATTGGAAGACACTCACCATAGAGCATAGTATCAACACCAAACTGCGCAAAAGAAAATGCCCACACCTTCCAGTCCTTGAAAGCCCTCATCATGTCGACTCGGCTGAACTGACGGCTAGTAGCTGTGTTTCCATATTCCCGCCTGTGTCTCTCTTCCATGAGAAGCTTCTCCTCTTTCGTCAGGAAATATGCCGATTCCGCATCATTCGGCAGCGCAATGAAAGTGACCACACCGAGAACCACGCTCGGAATACCTTCGATGATGAGAATCCACCGCCATCCGCTCATGCCACAGAGTCCATCCATGTGTCCAATGCCATAAGCCAACAGTCCACCCAGAGCGCCGGCTATAGCAGAACTGACAAAGAGATAGCCAATCCTCAGAGCCAGTTCGTGCTTGGTGTAGAAGAAGGTGAGATAGACGCTGAGGCCGGGAAATAGGCCCGCCTCGACAACTCCTAGGAGTAAACGGCAAGCGATGAGTGCTCCGTAGGACTGTACCAGTCCCGTAAGGGTGGCAATGATGCCCCATGCGATGACAATGAATGATACCCATCGGCGGGGAGTGAAGAGTTTGAGTACGAGATTTGATGGCACCTCGAAGAGGAGATATGTGACGAAAAAGATGGAAACGGTAACTTGAAACTGTTCAGACGAGAGGTGAAGGTCTTCCTCGAGTCCGTACAGTCGAGCGTTTCCAATGTTGACTCTGCAAGTTGTTAGTTTTTCTTTCTTCCTCATTTATTTCCTAGTTTCCACAACTCTAACTGGTGTAACATAAGGAGAGTTACAGCGCTGAGAGAGAGGATAGGTAATGATGCTCACCTATCAAGAAAACTAAACAGATACAAACCCATGACAAGAGGAATAATGTAAAGATCCAGCTTCCGCAGCAACTTCCTCTCATCAACTCCCTGAAGCAACGTTTCGGTATCTGATTCCACCGCAGCAGCCTCATCTCGGGCCCTCGTCGTCTTGTTATCGCCCTCGGCCATTGTGGCCGCTGCCAATTCCGTTGTTGGAGCCATCGCTTGGCAAACTCCTAACTCAAACTTGATCTCTAAACTTCAATTTCAATACGCCTCCCGGCCCAGTTAACGGTAGTAACTGCTGCTCGAAAAGGAGAAGTGAAGAGGCGGACAAGACAATTATTTTTCTCGGCTCAGTTTCGGGTACTTTTGTGCAGCCAACTTTCAAAAGAGGCTGGAATGTCTCACAACGTATGAGTAAAATCGTAACCCTGGTCTCACTCAATCACAACCAAACAGATAGCCGCAATGTCTCAGAGAGGAAAAAAAAAAAGCGTCGGAATTACGATGGGCAATAGTGGCTCAGCAAGGTTATACTGTAATGCATAAAACAGCATCCATGTGAGACATGAAAACAAAAACAAACGATAAAAAAAGAAGCTGAAGAGTCACGATAAGAAAAGAAAGAGTCACAATAGCATTAGCAATACCTTCTCCATATTAGTCGAAAGAAAAAATAAAATAAAAACTGAATAGTGGCGTGGTTGGCTCCCACGAAATCTACTTAGCGTGTTCCGCAAATCGGAACCTGCTGAGGGAAAATACCCCATGGGAACTTGCCGAGAAACTTCCCTACCCATTAGAGGCAGTAGTAAGTCTTTGTCTTTGATTTGCCTTTATGCAAGCTTATCAATCCAATCAGTCGATGAGGGAGGGGATCTTGCAGCATTCATGGCTACTCATACTCCGTCAGCTCGGGTAAAAATTGAATCCTTCATCGGATAGATCTTGTTTAACCAGCACGTGTGCGACCAGCCGCAGAGATTTCTTACAATCTGAGCAAATTAACCACAAGGATTGTCAGTAAAAGAAGCTACAAAAAGGTTATCAATTCGTTCTTCTTCTCCATCGCCACATGCCTCGCATCAGCCACTAGTCTGCGTCCTTAATCTCATTAAGCTTCTTTACCTTAAAAAAAAAAGATTTTGCCTCTAAGGTCCAGCTCCAATCGGCTAAAGCACAGCCGGCATTTCTCCGCTGTAGCCCCTGGCAGATGGATGTAAGGAGCGTTTATACTGCAGACGCATGGCTGTGCGTTGTTACCTGTAGCGAGAAACATCATTGATGCATATTTTAATGGCAACGTCAGTTTACTATTTCCTGCAGCTCAAAAGACATCAGTATTAGCTCGCTAAAGAGTTGTCAGTATGATCTCGCGATAACGGCACAAACAAAGATTGGAAAAAGAAAAAAAAAATTGGTATGAATTGAAGCGGTCCATTATTAAAGATACATAAAAGTGGTTGCGCAGAACAGAGCCAAAACGCATCCGTCTGCTCTCCAAAACCTCCTGAATTTCATTCGTCACATCGAGTAGCATCTTCCAAATCTTCCAACGTCTGCCGTCTTCCCATTTGCATAGCCCCTCATCTATCGTTAAGCTTTCATACGTTCACATCAGTCCGAGAATCTGTTCCCCACGTCATGAGAATCACCAAGCCACCCTCGTACATTAAGCCTAGTTCGGACGGGTATGGACAGTATATACAAAAGACACATGCCTTGTATGCTCCCGCCGCGGCCGTAGATTAGCTCTTCCAAGGCTGTAGTCGCCCAGTCGTTGAATCGGCCCAGCTTTCTAGCCTCAAACTCGTCGTTGATACCCTCTCTTTTTATCTACTCTAATGGTACGTCTGCGTGGGCATTTCGTACACAGGCCCGCTCTGGTGGCCCATGACAGCGTTGCCATCGATTTCGGCGGCATTGGAGTCATGCCACTTGTTGGCGTTGAGGTTGTCATTGCCCAGCTCTGCTGCGTCAACATGAGCAGGAGCGAGCCGGGCCGAGGGGAACGAAACAGGGCTAACGGTGTTTGCATTTGTGGTGGCCGGGCTGGGAGTGTTGTAGGCTGAACCGTACGGCTCTGGCTTGGCGAATCCAGCACGTCCATCGCCCAAAGCGGTACCACGGTACCCCTCGGGAGCCTTGGCTGGGGTACGTCCCGGGGCAAGGAAAGCAGCAGCGGAAGCGGTGTGTGAAGACATGGGTTGCTGGTGACCACCACCTCCACCACCTCCACCACCGGCGCCGCCTATCGGGACCTCAGAAGCACCGACCAAATCGTCGTGATCAGGGCTAGGGCTGCGGTTGCGACGTCTGAGAAGTAGCAAGATGGCGGCTCCGATGAGAAGAAGGCCACCAACACCGACACCGACACCGATACCAGCCTTGGCGCCTGTAGACAGGCCAGAGCTGGCGGCGGCATGCGACCCATTGTTGTCCGGGGTGCCGGTGTTTGAGGTGACCGGGCCAGTTGTCGACTCCACGACGCCGGTGGTAACAACAGTGGAGGTGACGGTCAAGGTGCTGGTAGTGGTGATTGTGGTCTTGGCGTTGATTTGATCAGTCTCCGTGATGGTGTTGGTGATGGTAGTTTTGGATGTTGAGGTATCCTTGAGCGTCTTGGTAACGGTGTCGGTGACGGTGGTGTCGCTGCCGCCTCCATCAACAGTCACCGTCACGAAATCGGTGACGATATCACGCGGCTCCAGACCGCGCAGGGCCAGGTAGTGCTCGACATCCTCAGCGCTGGGGGCATCCGTAGGCTCGGCATCAGCGCCGGTCCTGGGCACAATCCATCGATCTCGCTTCTGGGCAGGGCCGGTGGCCGTGGGCGTCACAAAGACGGTGGTGGTGTCGAAGACCGTCTTGGTGGCTGTCTGCGCGTCGCTGCTGGTAACAGTGGTGGTCGTGAAAGCCGTGGACGTGACGACAACGGTGGTTGTCTGCGTGGTGGTCAGCGTCTTTGTGGTTGTTGACGTCTTGCCGCCCGCGGTGTTGGTGACGGTGTCGGTCTCGGTGACGGTCGTCGTGCTGCCGGCGGCGCTCGGCGAGGACGAGGAGCTGGAAGACGTCGGAGGGGGAGCAGCCGATGACGGCGTCGATGAGGTGGGCGGCGGCGTGGTCGACTCTGCGGATGATGATGATGATGATGGATCATCGGCTGGGGCGGATGAGCTGCTGCTGTCGGCTCGGATCACGACTTTTGCCTGGGCAGCCCCAAGCAGCGCGCCGAGAGCGAGCGCCAGCGGCAAGCGCATGGTGGATGGTAGAAAACAATACTCGGTCAAACTATGCGGAGCAGTAACGAGAGGCCATATAGATGGAAGCGGGCACACAATACAGAATTCCCAAGCCTGGAGGGGATGGGAAGAAAAAGAAAAAAATGTTGACGGCGATGTGCCAGGCGAGTGAAACAAGCGAGTGGAAGGGGTCGGTAGGGAAGGAAGTAGCAGGAGTCGACGATCAAAAGCCGGGCAAGAGGGCAAGAAAAGCCCAGCAGCGAGAAAAAGCGACCCGTTTGTTTGGAGCCCGTTTTTTGGCGCAACAATCGGTGGCGCACGCGGACTCCGGAGAAGCCACGCAGCGCCCCAGCTACTAGGGCAGCACCTGGGCAGGTACAGCGCCAAGTACCGATACCGCGTGCGTCTGCGCAGCCAGGCCGGGAGCCCGGGTACGCTCTACTGCCGGGTACTTGCAGCACCTCCACAGGCGCCCCATTCCAGTGACCTCAGGCAGTGAAAGCGAGCTCCAGGTTCCCGCTGCGGGTGCGCGCAGTCCGCTAAAACGACGTCCAGGGCCGCTAATGCACCAGAGACCACAGCATGCAGCGGCGCTGTTAAAGGAACAACAACGTTGCGTGTATGCAGTGGGCAGATCCAAGCACAAGCGCGCGCAGGTACCGCTACACGACATGACAGGCTCCCTCCCTCCGAGTGGCATTCGTGGCTGATGCAGAACAAAACAATCAAGCAGCCAGCAGCACCATCACTTGCAGCGACTCGCAGCAGCGGCGCCTTCAAAGATCCCGCGGGCTATTGGGTCTCTAGCACAGCTAGCTGCGGTACCAGTACCTCAGGAGAGTCAAAAGCACAAAGGGCCCTTGAGCCACGTTGAGTTTAGCCGCGAAAAAGTGGCAAAGCAGGGGGGGTCCTCATTTGAATACGAACCGCTGCCCAGAACGCAGACCACAAGCCAAAAAGAGAATGACCAAGTGACCTGCAAGTCAAAAAGAACTGAAGAGAGAGAAAAAAAAAAAAAGAAAAAAAGAGGGACCCCCCCTGAAACTGGCCGAGCCAGCAAAGACCTCCGTCGGCCTGTCACCTGCCAGTTCGATACGAATGTACCGGTACTCCGAGGCGGTGCCGGTGCTGTCGGAGCCTTCGCTGGCGATGCTACCTGGCCGGTCGTTTCAAGTCTTTTGGGTCTCGTCGAAGCGCACATTTTGGTTCCTTCCAATACCTACCTATCCGCTCGCTGAATCACCCATCCATTGCACAACTTGGCGTATCTGCCTCCGGCATCGTCATCGTTTCAAGTGACCGGGCCAGGCAGCCAGGGTCAAGTACACGCTACCGCGCCCAACCTGGTAATTGCCTGGGTCGGCAAGTAGTCGACACCCAGAATCGCCGGCACTTTGCTCAACATCGTAAGACTGACTGGCTGATCGCAGGCGAGGGTGCAGAGGCCCGGCCATGCGTCATGACGTGCAAAAAGACCGCACTAGCATCCAATGATGGCGACACTAGCAGCGACTGCATTTTTTGCTCGGTGGCATCGTTGGAGTTGTGCTGTAAAAGAATCGCCGTATATGGCCGTATCCCACGGCCGATCTTTGTGCTACTGTACGACGCCATATCGCAGGCACAGAGTGCTACAATCACGTAAATACGATGGTGCTCCCAACATGCAATACGAGCCAGGTTTCATCGCTTCCATTCCACCTTCCAATAGCGAGGCTTATCTTATGGCCCATACATAGCCTCCGCCACAGCCTTGTAACAATGAAAAGAACATCGACGAGCAAAAGGCTTCAAGCCACTTTCACTATGTTCTCTCTCACCACCAAAAGCGGCTGCTTACACACTTGCTTCTGTTCTGTTCTAGCCATGAGGCTAAATTAGGTAACTCATGCGAACGAGAAAAAGATCCGGTGTCTTTCTATTCTTGTTCTTCTCTTCATGCCCTTACCCATTACTGCTATACCTAAGAGTGCTAGTGCCATCCGTGGCTATCAACCAACATCATCCGCTGGAATGTCCAAACGGCCGCCGCTGCCCTGCTTCGGGCCACCCTCGTGGTGATCCTCTTCGGGCATGATATCAAATGACGAATAGCACGTGACGCTTACGGCGTTGCTTTGGACGTCTTCTGCTTCTGCTTCTGTCAGATAGACAACGGATTGCTTATCTTCCGTACGGCTGTGCCCGAGTCCTGTCATTTTGGTGTAATCCTAGTTTGGCCGAGAATAGCAATACATGGTAATCAGCGCCTATCACGGTCAATGCCCTTCAATAACAATGAAACGTTATCACGACGTGGCCACCTGCCTCATTGTGCTGCCATGGCTGGTGGCTGATTCCAAGCATGGGCCACTGTGTAAGCATCCTGATTTAATCTCCGCAGATCTTATACTGGATGCTGGCCATGAAATAAACAACCTGGCGAAAAAAAGCTAGATATACTTTGCTGACATCAGTGGATATACTTGTCATGCTACAAGCATACTAAATGAAAAAAGCTTATACCTGCCACGCTTCAGGCTCATTTAAATTGAAAAAGTTTATTTACTCAATCTTTTTCTGGAATTGCAAAATGTAGAGGATATGCACACTCGTATATAGTACATATAATATCGTCTCTCATCTAGCTTGGAATATTTAACAAAACACAGCACCTCCCATCTCTCTCACTCTTATATCGCTACCCTCCTCCTCCTCTTTGCCAGCTCTCCCCTCTAGCCGCTCGCCAACAGTTTACGTTGTATGCGTTGCGTCCAGCGCAAGAGCTTTTAGATGAAAAATTATTACGTTTATAGGTGAATGGGGGAATCGTTTCTCTATCCACCAACTGAGAGCAGAGGCTTTTGGTATCGTGAGAGGGAAAGAGGGAACCGACAAAGTGAAAAAAAAAACAAAAAACGAAGGGAAACTGAAAGGCACTACAACAGAAAAAGGCCAATTGAGATGTTGGCTTAGAAGTTTTCCTTGCCCCAGACGAATGAGAACCTGCATAGAAGCCGCGTTAGTAAACTGTGTCAATACAACATCTCCCTCACCACCACACGATTAATGTATGAAAGTCAAATATAAAACTTACTCAGGGTCCGTATACTTGTTGCAGTAAACATGCAACGAACTTCCCAATCCCTTGGGTCCACAGAAAAACACACCCGCCTCAGCAGGCGTGTGCAGCTTCCGGATTCCTCGGAAAATCATATCCCAGTTCGGACGGCCAAAGTTGGTGGGACTCCTCAGGCCCGTAATGGCATCCTTGTCGGCGTTTGCGTCGTTGATCATGATGTTTGTGGCATCGTCCGCCTTGATCTTGGCCGTCAGGTACGTGTGGATCTCGATGCGGTTGTCCACGTCCTGCGCCTCGACGGCCAGCAGCAGCGAGCGGAACCACTCAAACGACCCAAAGTCTCGGCAGATCCAGAAGAAGTAGACCTTGCGCAGGCGCGTCTTCTGCTGCGGGTAGTTCATGCGGTACCAGATGGACTTGAGGATGGAGGCAAAGGGCGTGACACCAATACCGGCTCCGACGAGGACCGCCACTTCGTACTTGAACACGTCCTCGGAGGCTGATCCGAAGGGGCCGTCGATGTAGACTCGGGGCAGGACGCGCTTCAGGGCCGGGTCGGTGTTTTCGTCGCCGGAAACGCCAACGACCTTACTCGCGCTGCCCTTCTTGTCCCACTCGCAGCCCAGAATGGTCGAGACCTCCTTGGTAAAGTCACCCACGCAACGCATGTGGATGGAGATGTAGTCCTCCTCGGGGGCACTCGTCAGGGTAAATGGGTGGTACTGCCAGAGAGACACGGCCGGGCAGCAGAAGAAGATGTACTGGCCGGCTCGCGTCTTGGTGTTCTCCTTCTTGATCTGGATCTCGCAGACGTTGCTGGGGTGCTGGATGACCTTTGAAATGTATGTCTTGTGGTGTCCGCGAATCTCGCGCGCAATTCTCTCCGCCAGGTAGATGAATCCTCCGTACATCCAGTACTGCCAAAACACACCAATGGCCGAGGGCCCAATGCTGGTGCAGAACGGCGCCACGTCAGGCTGAATCATGCAGAAGGCGCCGTGGATGGCCCAGAAGATGAAGAAGACGATGAACATGTGGTGGGTGTACCAGAATCGCTCGTAGTTGGCTCGTCGGGGCTTCTCGATCGAGGTGAAGACCATGCCCATGAGTGCAATCAGCATGATGTATCCAGTCCAGCCAGGGCCAGAGGCGAAGTTGGCAAGCAGCCAGCCATAGATTCCCAGGTTGTTCTTGATGGCCACCTGCGCAAAGTTGTTCCAGTGAGCAATGGTGTGAGCCCAGGAGAAGAACACAATCGACCAGGCCGTCGTGATGTGGAAGGTGATGTTTTTGTCGAATTGGATAACGCCGTTCAGGGGCGTCTGTCGGAGCAGCGAAATCAGGGTTCTGCAGACGGGGAAGAGAATGATGCCGACATCAACGTGGAGGACCAGCGCAGAGGCTCGGGCAATGACGAATGTGAAGCCAAAGATGCTTCGAGCTGTGGCCAAGCTGTCTTTGAGGCCGTAGTGGACGCAAGCAAAGGCGAAAATCAGGGCGTGGGCGAGAATGAAGACGAAAACGAACCTGCCTGTGATGTTAGTAAATGGGCTCCTTGCTTCTGCTACTTCCAGACTAGATCCTTTTCTTTCCCACGATCCCGTATCATATCCAAATTAGGGAAATACGATGCACGTACACTCTTCGGTAACCCTCGTTAATCATCCACCGATCGAATTTTTCCCGGTTCGTCAGCTCCTGCTGCTTCTCCTGTGTCATCTCTCCGGAGAGCAGCATCCGCGTCAGGGGCGTCCATCTGGACCGCTCCGTCTGCCGCTCATAGCTCTCATACTCTTCGTATCCCATTGTCGCTAGCGAAAACTTCGAAATGGTGTAATCAAAAAAATCCCTCTGTAGTATCCAAGTAGATTATTGACGCCCTTGTTTCTCCTTTAAATTGCCTCAAGCTAGAAGCGCCCAGCTGGCGCAGCGTAAATTATCGTTGATTCGGTATCGTTAGGTTCAGATCCCGCTGAACGAGCAGCAGCTGGTCGATAAGAGACAATAGAATAAATCAATGAGCGAAGAAGGCCGTAGCGAAGAGAAAAGAAAGATATTTCCCGAGATCTGCAGACGCCCCTAAATATCAGCATCCAGGAAGAAACAAAGCAGCAATTGGATCGTGGGAGAGGTCTTGCGGTTGAATCGCGACAACCCCTTATAAGTGCTGCAGAGAAGAACGTACGTACCAAAAGTTTGAACAATACAAACTCGACCTGCCTTGCGATCAACGCAACCCACGGGATATCCAACAAACGCAAAAAGGAATAATTAAAAATAAAGACGACGACGACGGAGCAACAAGAAAGGGAAGAAGGAAAGCAAGAAACAAGAGCTAGAGAAAAGAAAACCCGTCGGCTTGTGGGAGACGCCAACTGTTTCCTCCTCTCCAGGGGCGTCTTGTTTCCTGTCCCAGCGCCCAAAAACGGCACCAAGCGATTTCGCTAACACCGCTGGCCTGGTCCCCTGTTACAGACATCTAGGCTCTGGGCTCTGGGCTCTACTCACGCAACGACTGCCGGCGCATGGCATGGGTCCGCGTGGCCAATTAGCGTGCGGTGCGCCACGTCTCGAAACAGACCATTTGATGCCAAGGGCGCCTTTTTCGCCGTTTCGCTAGCCTGATGCCTACGCAAGTGCGTGTTATCTCTGGTTTCAATCCATGGTAATTGGGGCTTTTAGCATCAATAGCAGAGCAGTTGTTGTTTCCCTCCTGCGAGATCTCCCAGGACTACGGAGCTTTTTGCATGTTTGCGACGTTTAATCTACTAAACTGTTCACGGAACTTCTCTCGATCTCTTCAAGGACCACTTTCTGGCTCCATGCTTCTCAACTGTATTCGATGGATTCGATGGCTATGGAGCTGAGCTTCTCCCATATTAACACGGAGTTGCTAGACCAGGACCGAATTCTCCACTGCGCGCCCCAGGCAAGAAGTGAGAAAAAACGCTTGTAATTCGGTAGGAATGCAAAATCCTTCAGCCAGCAGCATCGATTATAAACACCTGAAAACTCACTGCAATTGTCTGCGAAAACGTCCAGCCCGGCAAGTCGGAGCGCTAATAATAAATGACCGGGTTTCACAACAAGTGGAAAATCATTCGATTTCTTCATCCTGCCGTTTTACATTTCCCGCCTTTGCTCTCCCCCTCTCCCCGGCTCTTATTTCCCACCCCGCACGCATTGATGAATTTCCATGCCTCTTCAAATCCCACAGGCTTTTTTGCCAGGGGGGGGTTAACAGGCCCCGCTGCGGAAAGGAGGCTGAGCGCGAGGCTTCATGAAACACACGATGCGACAAGAGGTGTGACGGCTCATGCTCTTGGCGCTTGCCGCTCGACCCGCGCAAGTGTTTTACCAACTCTTCTTTTCTTCTTTCTTCTTGAATGTTGTAACTCTGTTTTTATCGCTTTTTTTTTTCTTTACCATCACTAACAGAACCAATTTACGCTAATCATGGGTATCCCCGTGCAGTCCGTGGCTTGTACACCCGTATGAGATCGGATCTCTGCCGCTGTGGCTATTCCGGCGACTACTACGACTAGCACCCGTTCCTCCTTGTAGACTGTATATTAGTGCTGAAATCGTACATGTGCAATATTCCTTTCCGTCTTCTGATCTTGGCAACTCCATTCCAAGTAGGTAGTCATCTGCTTTGTTGGTCCGAGAATGAAGACTCAACACCAACATATCCACGCCTTTGTCCCCGTTGAAGGTGCTAATCGGCACAACACAACCCTCAACTATTTTCTACGTCAGTTGCACCTCCCAGGGCCGTAGAATACCTATAACAGATTATTTGATGGCTTCCAAGTCATCAGTAGAGTCAGTGCGGCCGAGGAGCATCCGTCACGCTGGGCCATTCGTTCTAAGTGGCAAAACCTTATACTACTGCGCCACAAGGCACATACATGTATGGATTCACATCTTTCATATCATCATTCACAACAGATCAGTCACAAGCAAAATCATCGTGAATTCCAGCCAAGTAAAACATTCTTAAGAGACGTAATTAAACAGATGCCTGTTTCTGGATGCAAATAACGCGGTATTGATGCAAACCCAAAGTTAACCAGCCGCACAAGCCCTTAGAATAGCGGATATATCTGTCTAGTCTGCCACCTGTCCGCCGGCCATGCGGCTCCCCTGACATCATTCACCCAGTGTGCTTGAAGGAATGATGGAATAGCAAAGAGAAAAGCTTGGTCTGTCCGCTCCCCACTGCCATCCCACTCGACCGGTTACAACGCAAAAGGGTCGCCAAACATGCCGCACCGTCATATCGTGATAGAGGACGTCAAACACCCAGCGCCATCAAACCCCCCAAAAGAAACCGTTTGATCTTGCCTAGACGGCGTACTTGCGGGTCCACTCCCGAGCGGTGGCCTCGTATCGGGGCCGGTCGGTCTTGTACACGTGTGCAATCTCGGGCACAAGCGGATCATCGGGGTTCGGGTCTGTGAGCATAGAGCAGATAGAAAGCAGAACTAGTGAGGCGTAATATGTCAGCCATTTGTTTTTCCAAAGCGAGTCTCTTCCGGGGAAGCAAAATAGAGGCCTACCTTTAGAAATCGTCAGAGCAGGGCTCCACTGGTCTCTCAGAATATCGAGACAGATGCTGCCGTTGCTGTTGATGTTGGGGTGGTAGATTCTGGTAGAGAAGTTGACTTTCGGAGGTTTGAAGGGGTAGTCCGTGGGGAACTGAATCTTCAGGAAGAAGACGCCTCCTGAGTATGGTGAATCACCCTGTGGTGGTCGTCAGTGCGTTGTCCTCCAAAAAGCCGCGGTTGATCGTAGATGAAGCGGTTTCATCGTATTGCAGGCCATAAGACCAAAGATGCATCCTGATGCTCAAAAAAGGGTGCTGCCCTTGAGGGTATTAACTTACGGGTCCCATAATAGTAGCTTGCCAGTGGAACTGTGAAGCATGTTAGACTTTGTTCATTCGCAACTCTTCCATCCCGCTGGCTGAACGGCAGCTAGCGGTGTTCGATGGATTTGTAAGAGGTAGAGATGGATCCAACTTACGAGATCTTCGCCGACAGGGCCGGCAGAGCAGGAGGATGGCGGGTCGCTAGTCGGTCAAAAATGTCAGTACACACAGCTTCTGGGCTTAAAATATCGTGCCGCTTCGTGCCAGACACGCCAAAGTCGAGCATCCGGTCGACCTCGTGGTTTGTGAGACCCCCGCTCAGCTCAGCCCCACCTCACACGACGACTTGGGCCTCAAAAACGACGACACTTCCTGATGAAAGCATCCGGCGAGAGCACGAAGAGACAAGGGCAGGGGGGCGGGATAGAGGGAGATTTACGTGCCGAGGTCCTTAAGCTCCTTGTTGATGCGCTTCAAGGCCATTGTGATGAGAATATGTGGTATCTAAGGGGGTGGTGGGAGATCGATCTCGGATCGAGGCTGGTGGCAGACTGGCGTCAGTATTTGCGTCGATGCAGCCCGGACGGGTCGGGTCACCGTCTGGTGGAGAAGCAGCACTCACGAGAGGAAAAGAATCAAAAGATCCCAGGCGGACGATGAAGACGATGCAAGGCGACCGTCTGCGCGTCCAAGAAACGAGATGAAGATTTTATGTGATGGTGGTTGCGCAGTCCCTGAAGGCGGTTCTGTGCAGATCCAGGAGAGTTTGTATGTCGAAGTGGAGGGGTTGGAAGGGAAGAGAAGAGAAAGGCAGTAAATCGCTGTAGGCGGTAGGAGTCTTAGCGGTACGTAGTCAGAAAAAAAAGAGCGGGCTGCACGGCCAGCGGTGGCTGAACTACGGTACATGCATGTACTACGCCAACCGCCTGCAGTAAAAAGTCCAGTCGGTTTATTAATTAATTTTTTTTTTTTTTTTCCTTTTCCTTCCAAGGTCCAGCTGAAGTCCAAGGCTATTGGGCCAAAAGGTGGCTGGACACCGCCACTGCTGCACCGCCTTTGGGCCGTGACCCGGACACTAACAGACGTGCAGCGGATCTGCGCGCAAGTCGTGATAGCGGCGAATGGACTGACACATTACGGCCCAAGGGTGACATGTTGCCATGTCTTTCTCTCGTCTTCGGCGATCGCCTGGGCCGACAAATGGCGGTGCTGAGCGCATGGACAAGTGAAGACAGCCGTAGCATCACTCATTACTGGTGTACACCTGTTACTTACATGGTTCTCGGGATTCACGCACCGTGATGTCCCATATGTAAGGATGACCAATGATGGCCTAAATTCGGCGCCAGGACTCATGATTGGAGATTAAGCCGCTGATGAATGATGGCTTGTATCAAGCCCGTTTCGATTGATTAGGTACTCGACGATGCCACCAGCGCCAAGTCGTGATGACTACCTTGGATCCTAATTTGGCAGTATGTGCTAGCAGATCTGTAATACAACTGCTGCACTTTCAACTCGCCAATACGTGGATAGAAGTAGACTTGTAGATGTGTAGTAGCATTCTGTATGGAGCACCATCTCGTAGCGCAGTGCCGTCACCTAAAAGCGTCTGGAAGCCGTCGATTCAGTGGCATGCTACGGATCTCTCATCGCAGCCCATGGTGGGGTTTTTGGCGACATCGGAGAATGTCGCTCCAAATTTGGCGCGTGGTGACTCAAGAGGCTTGCTATAGAGCAGTATAATTCTGCCATTTAGCTGGAATTTTTTTTTCTTTCGCCTTGTCAATAAAATCAACAAACTTTTACTTTCTTAGATTCTTGCTTCAGCTTTGAATTCATAGACGCAATCCTATCTTGATTAACGTCTTTTTCTGTAAGTAAACAAATCTCAACATGCTGATTGATCTCTTTTCTCTTAATTCTATGCCAATTGCCCCTCCAATTTCTGCACTTATCGGCGTATCGTCATTAGTGCAGACATTCCCCTCCACCCCTCTATACCTTGCATCTTATCAACTCAACATCAATTACTTACACAAAAAAGTCTTTAGTCTAGATCAATTCTTTTCAGAAACAAAATGTCTGGATATCCCGCCCTTCTCCTGCGAGCGGAGCAAAAGCCCCTCGAGCACCGATCCTTCTCTCCCGCCGTCATCAAGTCTCTAATTGATGCCGGATACCCCGTCACCGTCGAGCGCTCCTCCACCGATCCCAACTTCAAGCGGATATTCGAGGACTCAGAATACGAAGCTGCGGGAGCCAAGCTTGTCGAATCTGGCGTGTGGCCAAATGCCCCTCAGGGAACCATCGTCCTTGGCCTCAAGGAGCTTCCCGAAGAAAACTTCCCTCTCAAGAACGACTTCATCCACTTCGCCCATTGCTACAAGGGACAAAAGGGCCATCAAGAGGTTCTCAGCCGATTCCCACGAGGCGGCTCTGTACTTTATGATCTGGAATTTCTAGTCGACGAAGTAGGAAGACGTGTTTCAGGTATGGAAATATGATCTTCTTTATCTAATATATACTCATTCTCTTTAAAGCATTTGGTTATCACGCTGGTTTCACCGGCGCTGCTCTTGGTGTCAAGACTTGGGCCTGGCAACTCGCTCACCCCGGCGAGAAGCTTCCCTCAGTCGCCACATTCACCGACGGCAGAGGCTACTACATGAACGAGGACGAGCTCGTCGAGCAGATTCGCAAGGATCTTGCAGAAGGCGAGAAGAAGCTGGGACGTAAGCCTACTGCCTTCGTCTTGGGTGCCCTCGGTCGATGCGGTACCGGTGCCTGCGACCTGTTCCTCAAGGCTGGTCTTCCTGAGGAGAACCTCACTCGCTGGGATCTCGCCGAGACCAAGGACCGTAACGGTCCTTACAAGGAGTAAGTTTTCCATTGCTCCTTTTGTTGTGCTAGCCACTACCTGATCTCTGACCTAACCATCTCTCTTTAGAATCGCTGAGCACGACATCTTCCTCAACGCCATCTACCTCTCCAAGCCCATCCCTCCCTTCGTCAACAACGACCTTCTGTCACAAGCCGGCCGCAACCTCAGCGTTGTCATCGACGTCTCATGCGATACCACCAACCCTCACAACCCCATCCCCATCTACGACATCAACACCACCTTTGACGATCCCACCGTCCCCGTCAAGATTGAGAACGACCAGAACTCAACGCCTCTCTCCGTCATCAGCATCGACCACCTTCCCTCCATGCTTCCTCGCGAGGCCAGCGAGTCATTCAGCGAGGGCCTCAAGGAGTCATTGCTCCAGCTCAAGGACCGAAGCACAGCCAGAGTTTGGGCTGATGCCGAGAAGCTGTTTAACGAAAAGGTGGCACTGCTCCCTGAGGCGCTGCGCACCAAGGAGGTTTAAAGAAGAGGAAAGAAGAAGAAAACAATTGTTAATGAAGATCATCAATGAGCATGGGATTAAAAATGTTAGGGTAATAGAAAAGGAGCACAAAATTGGGACGCTGATATACACTGAGAGAGGTATATAACGTGCGTAGAAACTTGATTCCTAAAGGGTTCATCAAAATGAATATAAGTGGCCGATTGGTTTTTTGCAGTTGAAGCTTGATTTTCCCAGGTGATTACTCCATTGCAAGCAGCTGGTTCCGTCAATGTGTGTTGATACGCTGAAATTCATATTCTCTATGGCAAGTATATTCTACACAAAAGCCTGAATTCCCGTGATTGCTCTGCCTATTATCAAACCTAAAGTCATCGTTAGCACGAGCTCGTTCACTTCAATTAGAGGAAAGAAGGGGTGGTCAAAAGGAATGGGTAAAAGGATACTCACTGTGAATATCGCTCTGTCCCTCATACGTCTGTGTCACAAACAAGTTCGCAACATGTCTTCCAATGTGATACTCGTCGCTCACGGCATTTCCTCCAAAAACCTCCTGCAGCACACGCACGTTCCGCAGCGCAGCATCGCAGTTCTGTCTCTTAACCATGCTAATCATCTCCGGCGTCACCTTGCCCTCGTCCTTGAGCCGGCCGACCTGCACCGCAGCCAGGGTGCCGTAAGCGGCGTCGGTGGCGGCATCGGCGAGCTTCTTCTGGATGAGCTGGTACTTTGCGAGAGGGTTGCCTTTGAACTGCTTGCGCTCCAGGGAGTACGTGCGAGCGCGGGCAATGGCATCCTCGAGAGCGCCCATAACGCCGAGGGAGATGCCGTATCTTGCGCTGTTGAGACAGCTGAACGGCCCCTTTAGGCCTTCTACTTCGGGAAACATGTTTGCTTCTGGGACGGGAACGTCGTCCATCTGGATCATGCCCGTGATGGAGGCCCGAAGACCATTCTTATCCTTGATGGCGGGCGTCTCCAGCGTGCCGGGAGGACAATCCTTGCGCTCAACCAAGAAGCCCCTAATCTTGCCCGTCTCTTGCAGCTTGGCCCACACCAGCAGCACGTCGGCAATGGGGCTGTTAGTGATCCAGGTCTTGGCGCCGCTCAGAGACAAGTAGCCCTTCTTCGTCGGGTGCGGCTTCGCGACGCTCTCCATGCTGCCCGGGTCGCTGCCATGGTTTGGCTCCGTCAGGCCGAATGCGCCAATGAGCCTTCCCCTGGCCATCTCTGGGAGGAATCTCTCCTTCTGCTCTTCGCTGCCGAACTCGTAGATGCCGCCCATAACGAGGGACGACTGGACGGACATGCCCGATCGGTAGCCGCTGTCGACTCGCTCGACTGCTCTTGTGATCAGACCGCCGGCTACTGAGGATACGCCAGCGCATCCGTAGCCCTTGATACCGGAGCCCAGAAGGCCTAGCTCGCCCATCTCTTCGAGGATCTTGGGGTCGTAGTGTTCGTCTCGGTAAGCCTCTAGAGTAAGGAAGCAAAGAAGTTAGCAGGCAAATCCCATCGTACATGATGAGGATATTCAATTCAAGTTCATACGTAGGACCCTGGGCTGTAGCCGCTCCTGGCAGTATCTCTCTGCCGTCTCTGCAATGGCCAGCTCTTCTTCGGTAAAGAGGTTCTTCGCATTCAGAGGATCCTGCCAGTCGAACGCGGGGCCGGCACCGGTAGCATAGCTTCTCGCAGCAATTGGCCTCGCCGACGCCGCATTGCGGGCAAACGCCCTAAAGGATTGTCGCAGCATATTCAAGGAGATTCAAAAGAATAACAGACTTGGTATCAAAAGCGAGAGAAAGAGTGTTGCGACAGCGTTATCGTACGGTCTTATGGCCTCCAGCTCGGCACACTATCGGCAGCGGAGCTTCCCCAGACTTGGGCCTCGGAGCTACTAGGGCGAGCACTAATCCGATGAAACCCGCGCCGAATCAGAGACACGCTCCACACTGGCATCTCCACCGCCAGCAGCCGCTGCACATGATGCGGCGCCTGGATTTAATCCTCCGTAGGATGCCTTAGTAGGGGCTAGCATGGCGGTATAAGCAGGCTAAAAATGGAATATAACGGGAGAAATCGTACCTAATAGCTCCAACCCGATCTCGGGGTTCAGGGGATGCGCCTTGTCGATGACAGAATATGGGGTAGATGTATGTAAAATATATGCAACTCATCACCAGTATCATGAACAATAGACAGTTGGATAGTCCGTTGAGGCTGGCAAGATTAAGAAAAAAACTATATATTCTATCGATATAGGTCTAAAGCTCTACTTTGCAACAGCACCGCAGTGTAGCGATGTGGTTATCCTGACGAAGATATGGCCGCGTCGCTTTCATCATCTGACCTGTCCTTGAATACATGTAGCTGCCAACTTTGAGACAAATGAGGCTGCCTCTCATTCCCCTACAGGAGTGCATTGTCCAGGGCTCCCAATATCAGAAGGACTGTGCCGTTCTAATGAACCTCGAGCCCTTCGCCTCCTTTCTCTTCCGTCTTGAAATTTGGGCGTCACAAGCTCTGCAGAAGTCGAGTTGCGAGAGCGCCTTGGAGACTCCCACGGCCGTCTGCGGCGGAAGCGAACCGCGATGCGTTCACGAAAAGTTGGCGGCGTGATGGGCTGAGATCGAGAAACACGTCTGCTGTAATAGTGGTGCCAGCTCCCCAGCCGAGGCGAATCAATCTTTGATTCCGCGTTAGCTTGCTTATATATAACAACGGGGCTTAAAGAAACCGCAATAGCCATTTACCCCGGGCTGTTTTGAACCTCGACTGAAGTCTGGACAAGATGTCATGCACTGATGCACAAGGGCGGTTGAGTCATCTTGGGTGCTAATTGGCCACAGCTGAGAAGCTTGTATAGAAGTCGATCGCGGTAGTCCTCTGTCTCCCGAGAAGAGCTTGCCTGGCTGTGCTGTGTCGGCGGCGTCAGGTCCTCCAGTCGAAAAGACTCGGTCAGATGAAGGAAAGATTGGAGAGGTTGATGTCGCTGGCGATGTGCAAACATCGGTCGAGTTTTCAATCATTTTAGAGGACAAGATGAGGGTTTGCCGGCTTGAACGCTAGGTAGTTGGACGAGGTAGTAATAGCTACTCTGTAATAATGAAAGTCCTCAGCAACACGGTCATATACGGCGATTGTAGTAGAAATGCTTCCTATCTCGAGAGGCAGTGTCTTTCAAATTTTGGAAAAGGGCAGGAGTACGCAAACTCACGTGAGGCGGCTGCTCGCCGGGAGCTCATACCTTCAATGTTCTCTCAACTGCCACTTATATACCCCAAACATTGAACTCCCGTTGGCAGCTTCCAAATATTGTCTAAAACCAGGCTGGTACCAATCATGCCATTAACAAAAGACGCCCATGCCAGTCGGCATATAGCTGCGCCGCGTCTTGTCTTTGTATGGAGTCGGGCGCATATTGAACCACTAATTTCATTGCAGATATGACTTGCAGCGAGACATTAAATGGCAAAGAGGGCTGGCTCAGGAGGAGGTTGGAATCTTCGAGGATGGCTGTCGATAGAGCAACTTGCCTCTCAAAGCTATCAGATTGTTGTGCCGATACAAGCTCTCGTAAGTTTACGAGAAGACGAATTATCTGCTCAGAACCAGCAATTTGGCTTGAGGAAGCAGATGCGGATTCCGCGCTGTGATTGCCGCTCAAGCTTTTGCTGATCGTTTCTGCATTGCCTGTTTTGGTGTCCTCATCATCTTCTTCCATCAATGTTGAACCGAGTAAAAGAAGCGTATCAATAACACGGTCGAATTCGGTTTTACCACGACATAGAAAGGGTATCTCCATCCACTCTCGAGTCCCGAGGAGTGATGTCCTGCGAGTAGATAGCGCAATGTACGACTGTATTACCATAAGCTTCTCGTCTATAGACTCAGGGTTTCGAGATGTTGAACATACCATGAAAAAGCGCAGCTGCCAAAATATTTCAAAGAATGGCGATACCTGGCAGCCTTGGAGCCCAACTTGCTCCAAGAGGCTGAGGACACCATGAGCATAGGGAAGCCAAGAGTCCGTACCAAGAGGTGCCATCATCTCAAATTCCAATAGCGCCATAGACATGAGAAGAAGGTTTAAGATAGACGCTGAATGCTGGTGCTTCTGCCACGGAACAAGCTGATGAAATTGAGCCTGGTGGCACTCTAAGCCGCTTGAATAATACCGGTAGGCCACCGCTCTTAACGACACATCATTGCTTGGAAGGGCTGAAAAAGCTGCCATCATGGCTTGAAATGGAAGCAGCATAATAGACTGAAAATCTACCGACAGCGACAGCTGAGGTATCAACATGAGCCACGGGTGAGGTGTCCAGGCACATGTATGGTACGACGCAATCTCAAGTGCCATACGCGACACCACGTTGTGTACACTGCTGCTGATACTGGCCGAAATGCCTATGTGATCCGCTTGCTAAGCCATATACATGTAAGCGCAAAGTCCTGAATCAAAGGGTCTGACCAAATGCCTACTTGATGCCATTGATCACGGCGAGCAAGTTCCTGCTGAGTCTGCGATCCTGTAGAGATTTCAGTAAATTTCTACAGCACGAGCTTGAAAAGCTGACGAAAAAACTTACCATTTACACTATGGATAAAAATAAGACCTTGCGTAGTTCCAAGACATGGCTGTTTAAGCCGTATGCACTGGGAACAGTGCGGTTGCTTATTATCACACTGGAATCCAGTTAGATAGCATTCTCCAATTTTTCTGCATCAATTGTTGCGTCCTACTTACTTTTATCTTTCTGCGTTTGCATGTCTTGCACCCATGGACTCTCTGAGAACCCAGTCTCATTGCGCCTTATGTTATAGTCATATGTCTGTTCGGTGAGGTGTGGTTGTGAGATATAGGTGGGAAGAGTTGTAATCCACCGTCGAGCGGCCATGAAATCGAATTCCAGAGGATGAGTAAGCAGTCTAAATACACGTAAGAGCAATGCTCTTTTACAGAAAGTATACTCTCGCATTGTGCACACATTGCTATTACATCTAATTTGAACAAGTATAGTGCATAATTCGCTTACCTTTACTTACGCTTGAATGGATAATTATAGCTATCATTCTTATTGCCAGTCAATTGTGTTGATTCATTATACAATGCCTAACCTTCTTGCCCCCTTTGCACAGTTCAATCTCAAGCCTGTAAATACATGTAGATACCTAGGCCTGGACGCCGCACATGTTCATCTTTTGCTTGCAACTATAATTAGATTAAACAGAGTTCGGCAATATTTGATTGTCATAAGCAGCAAGATCAACTGCTCCCTTCGCTCTTCAGTTGTTCAAATCACTTCTCGCCCGAATCTTCTCCCCCTGAAAATACACCCATAGAGGCAACGGGATTCCTATTGCGATGCTCAGTCCGCCAAGAAACGAATATGTTCCCCCCAGTCCCATGGCATCAATCATTTGTGGGGCGAAAAGGGGTATTGCGAATGCGAGGAGCGAGCGAGCGAGCGCGGCAGCTGCCAGAGCAGCCGCAGAGTATTTGAAGGCGTCGATGAAATAGAGCTGCAGCGGCAAAAGAATGGACATCATGCCAAATCCGAAGATGGACGAACCGATGATAGGAAGCATCCAGTGCTGGTGCGTCTGTGCTGTCCAGCCGAACCAGAAGAGTCCGATGGGGACGGCAATGGAGCCGAGAAGCATTCCCGGCATTCGAAATTCCGGCTTGGGGATCTCGTCATTCTTCTTGGTCAACTATTCTCAGAGGCTCGTTTCAGTTTCACGTCAAATGAATAGAGAAATCGCTCAGGCAGACTCACATTGTGGTAAACTGTGTTCCCTACCCATCCACCTAAAGCCGTGGCACATAATTCACCTAGTCCTCCTCCTATGTACGTCAAGCCAGTTGGGCCAGGCTGGAATCCATATATGTTGCCAAATATCGTTGGAAAAGTTGTGAAAAACATGTTCAGAAAGCCATAAACACTATATATGAAGTTAGCCGGGTGAGGTGATCGGAAATACAGGGTGTGATCCTACAGTGCTCCATAGAAACTCATGATGAGGCAAATAGGGCTTCTTATGAGGAGTAACAAAGGGCGTAGAGCTGCTTCTCTAGCTTTAGGACTCATCAGCGAAGCGGAAATGCCCTTTCTTTCGTCAACCATTTCCCCCTCCGTTTCTTTCTTCCAGAACCTTAGCAGTCCTTTTCCCTGTGAGCCATGATTTGATTGAATGAGTGCATGATCCGTCTCGGGGAGAAAGAACACGCAGAGGATCAATGCAGCAGCACCAAGAGCGGCCGTCAAGACGAAGCCATAGCGAACCCCGACTGTCTGAGTCAAATATCCTCCCATGATTGGTCCAGTCGGAGGCCCAATGAGCAAGCCCAGACCATATATAGCACTAGCCGGAGCTCGTTCTTGCAGGATGAAAAGATCAGCTATAACCGCTCCGGCAATCGATATTGGCGTCGATGCTCCAATTCCAGCCAAGAATCGAAAAGCGATCAGTTGTCCCGTCGACCTAGCAAAGATGCAGGCAATACTAAACGCGGTAAATATGACGCTCGAGATGTTCATCACCCACCTCCGTCCCATAATTTCAGACAAGGGGGCAAAGACGAGCGGTCCAAGTGCCCAAGCCAGAAGATATATGGTCAGAGTCAGAGCCAAAACTGTGTCGGACTTGATGTCGTATTTCTTGGCGATTTCTGGTAAACCGGGTGCCATGATGGAGCTTGCAAGAGGCCTAAACGAACTTGAGAAAGATGAACCAAATTTCATGCAACGCCAGAGAGCTTACGAGATGAATGCTTGAAAGGAGATTAGCCCTATTGTTTGATATTTCTTGGAGTTGGCCCAATTTATGGGATTTTTGTCCGAGTTGCTCCATATTTGATCAGGATCACTGGTATCTGAGTTCAATACCGATGAAGTCGCGTTGGTAGATTTCTCCAAGTCCATGATGGTGATGAGCTAGCGGTTCTCGAGTCCGTCCAACGGGAGAGCCATGGTCATAGATGGATGTCGAGTATTTATAAACATGGTGAAGGTGAATGATGGAGGTCTACAAGATAGTAGTACGAAAATGCCCTTGAACCCTCGGGACTCTAACGATATCCAGAAGAAGAATATGTGATCCAGTAGCGCATGCAGGTCTATTTGATGTCGACTTTGTAGATATGCTGGCTAAAGCTCCTTGAGCTCGGCAGTCTAGCCTCTTTAGGATGATATCACGGATGCTAGCAGTTCAGAACGGAAGAGTTACAAAGCACAAGCAGCTTTAATGTTGTCTTGATAGTTTTTACGTTGAGCTGACTCGCTCTTCAATTGATTAAGTACATATGAGTGTCCAACGAAGCTACTTGGCTGTAATTGACTGTGATTCGTCTAGTATCAAGCTCATCAAAAGCAGGAAATGGCGCATCTTATAGGGTAAGTAGTAGGACGTCCTATGAGAGCTGGTAGCATGATCTGGCATATCCACATCTTAATGTATATAGGAAAAAAATAGCTGAAAAGGAAAAAAGGGCTACAGTTTAGGATAATCGTAGTGTAAACACCGAAATCAGCATGCATATCATACGTGAATGTTATCTCGGTAATTCGAGGCTCAATGGTGCAGCTCAAAACCTCATCAATTTTTACAAGAAATGTACCAAATACGTCTATGCTTACAATCATGAGATCTTTCTTACTATCATGTGCAATCGTTAGTTGGATACCAACTGCAGTTTTTTTCGCAATGAACTGCCCGGCTAACTCGGCGAAAAAGATTTGCCTACTTACGAACTTGAGGTCATCTTGCGGCCTCTTGGACGCTCTGCAGACTTGTAAGCGATCGACACGAGTGATTACATACTCGTATGACGTGGATTCAGACCTGTGTGTCTCATGTTCAGACCTCATGCCTAACCAGTATTACTTGAAGAATGCCGAAGGCATCACGAAAAACAAATTGGCGATACAAATTCACAAATAGGCCTTGAAAAATATTACAAGTATGTAGTTTCTGTGCCAATAAGCGGCCGCCAATGTTGCCAGAGTGACCCAATTCGGCCCCCTGGAATACTACTAGTACTTACTATACATAATACGAGTATTGTACAAGGGCTGGCAGCTTTACTTTTAGAAGCACATGCGACATGGGCATGGGGGTGACAGGCACTCCACAGCCTAAAGAAGAAGCTTCAAATTCTCTCATGCTTCTTGCTCTTCTTCTTCTGCTGGACAAAGAAGGGGAAGCAGGTTCCACCAGCTCTTCTAGAAAAGAAGGGACTTGCGGAAGACGACGGAGATATTCATCGGTCAGGGTTCGTCCTGATCGCAGGTAGAAATGAGAGAGAGCCCGCTTCACTGGAGACGAAATTCAGGGATGGCAAGGTCGAAGTCTGAGGGGGGTTCGGGGCTGAGCGGCCCTGGTCGTCGCGAACGCTGGCCAGGACAGGACATTACCAGCCGTTATGCGCTGGGCCGGCGGAAACTTACCGGCATGGCTTAATGAAAGAGGGGAGGCAGTGCTGACAGGGCCGGAATTACTGGCTGGACGGGTGCGATCAAATCGTATTCGATCCTTTTTTTTTCACCAGTGCCAAGCAGAGCCGGGGCTCAGGGGAAGCCGAGAGTGTGCGATCTGCTAATAATTACGAAGCAGTAGTAGGTACATGTGCTCCATACTGCACTCTGCTGGTGGTCGCGTGTAGAGCTTGTACCCGATAATAACATGCAGGATTTCGGGACGCTGGAGTGCGCGAAACATGCATAAAGGGAGCTGGGGGGCCTTTGCCGCGGATTTAATAGGCCAAGAGACTGATTACATGTCAAGTACGGATACTTTGGTGCTATTAATACAGCCACGGTTGGCATGTTGTGACAGGATCGGTGCACAGATACGGAGTAGCAGCTGTCTTAAGTCCATGTGATGCTCCGCTTCACCCAGCCTTCGATTTTCCTCTCTCTTCACGCCTTGCCTTGCTTTTTGTCTTTTCGCCTTCTTTTTCACCGGCAGCCATATTGTCTGTGATCTGACTAAGCTCGTCTGTTTCACTCGCGCGATAGTCCAGAATGCAAACTGTCGTGCTAGTGCCAGGAATTGTCAAAAAGTTGTTCGCCCCCCCTGTTTGGTTTCGCTAGTGGAACGGTTTGATGTCATGACTTGTGTTGCTGCTGGACCCATCGTGGAAATGCCCAGCGCCGAGGGCAGCCTGAGTCTCCATGTATCCTGTAAATCATTTCTGCGAGTCAATGGTGGAAAAGGGCTTGGTCTGGCCTGGGGTACCTGTACCAGCATCCGCAGGGTCGCCCACCCTGCGGATGCTGGTACAGGTACCCCAGGCCAGACACAGAATGCTCTGACGTGAAAGACGGGATCATTTGCCTTTGGCACAGCTGTTGCTACAATTGTTGAAGCATTGCTTTGTGGCATGGACTGATTCCATCGAGTGCTTTGCTTTGCCTCCATGGCTGCTTTTATAGACTGGACACAGCACTATCACATGTAGGTGCCTGCATGTCAGCGCATCCTGCGGGCTGCCGTGGCACGCAAACCGAGCGACCACGATGGCCCAGCGTGCATTTGCACTGCCTCTCGTAGCGGCAGATCAACCTCAATCCGTTCAGCTGGCCTAGGTGCAAGATCACGCCCTATGACGAGCGCCCATCAAATTCCAGGTTCCATGGATCTCTCAATCAGTGCATGTGTGTCTGCTCACCCACTGGCGGCCGCCCACTGGAGCAGCTGCAGGGCTCCCTTAGCGGACCCAGCTCCCCAAAGCAGGATTTTACAGCGCGCGGTACTTAGATGTAGCTGTGCTGTGCTTTGCTATGCTGTGCTGTCAAGTGCTGTCTGACCCAGTGCCATTAATCAGGCTGGCTCCATCAAATGCCAAGAGGCGTCCTCTCCAGGCCTCGTCTCCCCTTGTGGCCCATCCATTTTCCGCTGATAGCCCCCTGGGCCACCATCATTAGCGCTGGCCCGGAGCGAACGACAAACCCGCCACTGGGTACTAGCCAGGCGCCTCGTTCCAGTTTTGCTCGAGGTTGGAGCCCGACAGCCCGCTGCCAGTGCTCGAATGTCGTTGAGAGAAGCAACGAGACTTCATCTACGCTCTGTTTTCTTCTGCTTTGTTTTTCTGCGCGGGAGCGGCTGCACGAACTGCATCCAACCCATCCCTGTTTCTCTTCCCCTTCCAGGCGCTGTTCCTCGCTGTAACCCCCCCCAAGCCAATTCGTCATCCCAGCGGGCTGCGGAGTGGGTCGGCGCGCCAGTCTTTCCCTCTGGTTAGCTGTTCTGTCGTCTCTGCCCAATCTCCTGCACCATTGATCCAATCCAATCCAACCCGCAGACGCAGCAGATCTCCATCCCCATCAAATCCCTTCCCATCGATCCAAGAAGCATCGCTCAATTGGTAGCATTTAGCAGCTGTCCGCCGCTCGCGTCCGCCGTCGCAGCGAAATGCCCTCGTTCCTGACCCAAGACAACCCGACAGTCTTTTCCAACGGCTCCTTCATCAGTCTTGAGCACGGCCACGAGCACGACCACGACCAGTACGGCCACAGCTTTGCCGCTGCAAAGGGCCTGGCGAATGAGGCATCCATAACCGACGCCCGGTCCTACGCCGTCCATGAGCGCTTCGACGAGAGCTCGACTCTGTCCACGCGCGACTCGGACGTTTCGGACTCGCCCATGCCCTTGAACGAACTCGACCAGTGCTGGCGAGACGACGGCAGCGCCAACGGAACACGACCGACGAGCATGAGCTCTCTCTCCAACGGCAAGAGTCTGGCTGGGGGCTATGAAGCACAAGAGTATGGCGACGCCAGCCACGCGCTGGCCAATGGAACCGCCTTTTCTCTCCCCCATCGCACCGTGCCACAGGAACACCTCTATGCAGGTGCCGCGGCCGATCTGGCCCGTAAGCCAGCCGCGTTAACGTCGTCCAGCAATCAGAGGGCATCGACGAGGAGCGTCCAAGACGATGTCTTGACCACCGTGACCCGGCCAACACCGCCCCCCACAGATGCCGAGTCACACAGCCCGCCTCAGCCTTGGACGCCGTCGCCGATGGCTTCTGACCTCGCCCTGCCGCAGCATACTACCAACGGCACTCCCCATCGCTTTTCATCTCCCGCATCCTACCAGCCTGCCGGCTCCAGCTCGGCACCCTCTTTGTCTGCTCATCTACAGCCCGGGCCCAGCATGGGCGTCAAGCAGAGACACACCCTCGAGGTGCCCAAGCCTGCGCCGGGAAGAACGTCAAAGGACGGCCTCGACACCGCTCAAGCCAGCGGTCGCTTTTCACCAACAATCGCCAGCCCTCCAGCACCAGGCCGTGCAGCTTCTTTCAACTTGGCTCGACGAACGACGCGGTCTATGCAGTCGGATGCTCCTCGCGACGAGATTGTACCTGACGAAGACGCCATGCGATGGGCCGAGATGTATCGACAGAAGCGAGCTAGCAAACGGAGACGGAAGGAAGAGGAGGACGATGACCGAGTGTTGGTTGGCACCAAGGTTGACGAGACCCATGCCAACTGGGTAACGGCCTACAACATGTTGACGGGCATCCGTGTATCTGTCTCGAGGACGAATGCAAAGTTGGACCGCGAGTTGACCGATGCGGACTTTAATGTTAAGCAAAAGTCTACGTTCGACATGTATGTCAATTCTCTCCCCAACCTTTCAATCTTTCATGATCATTCATGCTTGACCCCAACCCCCCTAAAGCCTTCTGATGATGCTAATATTCTCCCTCTCAACAGTACCGGTAACGAACTTGTCCCTTCGGCCAAGTACGACTTCAAGTTTAAAGACTATGCCCCTTGGGTCTTCCGCCACCTGCGAAATGCTTTCCGTCTGGACCCTGCTGATTATCTCATGTCCCTGACGGGCAAATATATACTCTCGGAGCTGGGCTCCCCGGGTAAGAGCGGCAGCTTTTTTTACTTTTCTAGAGATTACAAGTACATCATCAAGACCATTCACCACGCCGAGCATAAGTTTCTACGCAAGATCCTCAGAGAATACTATAAGCACGTCACCGAGAATCCCAACACTCTACTCTCCCAGTTTTACGGCCTTCACCGGGTCAAGATGCCTTATGGAAAGAAAATCCACTTCGTCGTCATGAACAATTTATTCCCCCCACACCGAGACGTGCACACCACCTTTGATCTTAAAGGTTCGACTATTGGCCGAGACTACAGAGAGGAGGACTTGGCAAAGAATCCACGCGCGACCCTCAAGGACCTGAACTGGCTTCGACGGAAACAGAACTTGGAGCTAGGTATGCAGAAGAAGAAGCTGTTCCTTGAGCAGCTCCAACGAGACGTGGCCCTCCTCAAGAAACTCCACATCATGGACTACTCGTTGCTGGTTGGCATCCACGACCTTTCCCGCGGAAACGATGAAAATCTTCGTGGAAAGACGCTGCAAGTATTCAACCCAGGTGGCGAGAAGAGCCCTGAAGACGACCTTCAGGCTTCTCTTCTTCGAACCCCATCGAAGCTGGAAAATTATCGTAAAGCCAAGGAGCTACGTCAAATGGTCCAGAAGGAACGCCCAGTACCCATGGGCCAAGCCAATGACCAGATGCCTGATGAGGCGGCAGAGGATCGTCGAGGGCTCCTTTTCAACCAGGATGATGGTGGTTTCAGAGCCACCCACGAAGACAATGAGCCAGCAGAGGAGATTTACTATCTTGGTGTTATTGATTGTCTCACTCACGTAAGTCCCGAAGCCGTAGATGTCATTATGCACGGAAACCCTGCTAACTCATGGATAGTACGGAATGATCAAGAAGATTGAGCATTTCTGGAAAGGTCTCTCAAACGACAAGAGCAAAATTTCAGCTCTGCCACCTGACCAATACGGTGATCGCTTCTACCATTTCATCCAAGGCAACACCATGTCCGCCGAGGAAGCAAAGCGGGAACGTGCACGCAGAGACCAAGAACTTGTGCTTCAGGCACAGAAACAGGAAAGGTCGAGGCAGAGCACTATTCCTCCCATGCCGATGCACGAGCCGCCTGCTCCTCCTGTCGGAATCCAGCCCAATGGGCGAGCGTCGTTGAAGGGATCACCCGAGGGGCACATCCCAGAGCGAATCTTGAAAACCAGTGCGACGGCGCCAGGCGCAAGAGATTCACAGCACGAGGCTATTCTACCCGTGGTAGAAGAAGCCGGAGAAAGCAGCAAAGACGAAACGGAACGATGGGTTCATTCGACATCTTGGAATGACACGCCAGAGCCGAGCCGGGCGCCTCCACCAACACCACCTGCCCACGAACAAACTTTCCTTAAGCCCGATAGCTCTGACAGTGGTTATGGTGACAACAGCAATGGAACTGTGAGCAGAGACAATTCGCTCAAAGTAGCCCGACCGGTTAGCCGAGGAAGTATAAACAAGGTTTTACCACCACTCCCCAAGAAGGAGAATGCCCAAGAAGGTGGAATTAGAATGGTCATGTAGACGGACTACAACAACAAGCCTCTATCCTTGCGCTGGTGGATCGAAAATTGATTGGTATTACGACAAAGCACGGCATGGCGCATAAAATCAGCGATGTTAACTATACACAAACGGGTTCAAACTTTGACAACCTTTATTTTTTTTTCTCTGATGATTCCGCATGAAGGACAAGGAAACGGTCGGGCGGAATTGTTGGGCTCTATGATTTTTAAACACTGTTTTGCAACATAATCAGCACTTCGCGTTTCTTTTCCTTTCCATTTTCTTTTTTGTTCTTACATTTTCCAATTCTCATTCGAGAGCACGCGTGTTTTTGATTGATTGTTTTCCTTTGGCCGCACTTTCCTGTTCATCTGGTTGGGCTCGTTTCTTTTCTTTTTCTCTCTTTTTCATTTGTCTTCAGAGGAAAAATCATATTCACTCTCTTCTCCTCCCGACCTGCCCCCTTTTCTCCTTTTTCTTCTCTTTTTCTTTTTCTTTTTCTACTTTTTGGTCTGTCGCATGCGTGACATGGGAGAACGGAGACGAAACAGAGATAGGCGTGGAGTACAAAGCATTTGTTGTTGTAGGTTATAAAGAAGGAGAGAAAAAAACAAAAGTCGAGAGAGAAAGCGAAAGGCAGATGGGGAAACTACTTTTTTTTTTGTCCGCGCCGGGTTGTTGTGCAAAGTGTGCTAATATTGAACTTTTTTCTTTTTTATTACAAGACGTGGATGATACCATTGACCGCATTCTCAACATACATACAGACAGACAGACAGCTATTTAACCTTTTTTTTTTCTTAAGTAGATTCGGTTGTTCATTTACCTGCATCTTCATGCTTTTGAGGGTCTCCTTTGTTCTTTTTTTTCTTTTTTTTTCTTTATCGGTGATATCAAAATGTGTGTCAATTATCGTGAATATCTGGGAGAGGAAGAAGGGATAGAGAATAAAATTGCTTTAAACTTTGAGACGAAAACGTAGATTTGTTGCTTGCCTTGATAGAGATTGTTATGAAGATGTCTGATATCGCATAGCTTGGGCGGATGGTTTAGTGGTATAATTTTCCCTTAGCATCTTGTAACCTCTGAGTTGCGAAATCGCATGGGAAAGGTCCGGGGTTCGATTCCCCGTTCGTCCATTTTTTTTGTCTCTTTTATTGTTGTCTTTGTCGATATTTGGGATTCTCCTTCTTTTTATATATATGTTGCACCTAGACTGTTGTCTATTTACCAGTCTGTGAAGCTTGCTACACAGAGTATCGAAACGAAGACGTGATCTGTTCGAGCGGTTGATTATGCCACTTCTATCCTCGTGAGCTGAACTCGTGGAAGAAAGCACTCATCCACATCCCTTACGAACACCGTAGAGTCAGTTGGGCCTTTTATAGATAGAAAAGCATATATTAAAACATTTACCATATTAGCTCAGCCTCCAGTATTAACCAGCTCTATTCTGCACGAAAACCTTTCAATCTTCATTTTTCCCTCTCTGCATCTTAAACGGGTATCCTTTTCTTTCTCTTCCTTCTCCCCTTTTCTAATTATCCCAAGTAACTTTCATAGACAGGGGGAAAGGCGAAAAAGTGCCCCAGTTCTCAGTAAGGTACTCGCTGAGACCCCCCTGCCTGGCGACCTTCTTCAACTCACCCTGAGGTCCCACGACCTTCTTCAGGCCCTGCTTCTTGAAAATGGCGCGGAAGAGTTCCACCAGTGCAAGCTGGCTGACCTCTTTACCCACCGCAGTGTGAGTGCCGGCACCGAACTGGATATACGACTCGAGAGGGCGATGAGGGTCGACGGTTTCAGGGTTGGGGAAATGGGTAGGATCGCGGGCACCAGACACAAAGGAGGCGAAGACCTTGTCGCCTTGGTTGACGTTGACTCTGCGTCCGTCATCTTCAGTGATGGTATCGGTGCCGGTGGAAACCTGGTGCATGCTGAAGGCGCCGGCCATACGGACACCCTCCATGGCAAAACCGAGGAGGAGGGAGTCAACCTCGGGGCTGGGCTCCTGATTGGCCAAGATGTGGATATCATCGACGTAGGGAGCGCCCTCGGTAGAGAGGTACCAGTCAAGAGCTTGGGCAAACTAAGCAAAAGAAAGAAATGTTAGTGTCGGATAAGCAGAAAAAGTAGGATAGAAGAATCAATACGTACCAGCCGGCCTTGAGATGGCACAGTAGCAGCCGCGGTAGGGAGGATAAGTCCCCAAGCAATGTCATGAGCATTCAGGCCAGACTTGGCCAGACCCTTAACGGCATTGACACCGGCGGTGGACAGAGGGTCATCCTTGGTACTGCCGGTGAATAGGCGCAGACCAAAGGACTTGGTGTACTTGATGGTCGTCTCAATTGACGCTCCGAGCGCGTCGGCAACCTCCTTCGTCTTCTGGCGAAGAGGGAAAGATTTAACAGGGTCGATATCAAGGAAGATTGTGGTGAAAATGGCAGCCAAAGCAGCATACAGCTCTTGCTCGGAGAAGACACCCTTGGGGTTCTCCTGCGTCTTGAGAGGAATGTTAAAGATCTGCGCAGCATAGTGAGTGTGAGCTGTGTTGCCAAGATCACGGACGACGTCGATATGCTTCTTGCCCATAATGGTGTACGACTTTTCTGCCAAGAGCTTCTCCGCGGTCTTTGCATAGAACGCCTTGACGACGTTCCTCCAATTGTCCTTGTAGAGAAGAGACTCGAGCGTCTTGCGGTCACTGGCCTGCATGTACCGGCCGTTGCGACCAGTAAGGATCTCAAGGCCTTCCTTCCACTGGATATTGTACTTGTCGGCGTTGGAGAAGACGTGCTTGAAACCGCCGATGGATGTGACTTCAACTCCAGGAGTAGCAGCTCGTGGGCGCTCAAAGCTGAAGCGGTGGACACGGTTCAAGCTGGTGAGGATCTTGCGATTCTCCTGAGGGATGACCATGGGATAGTGGGCGTAAACGGAGTCCTGCTTGAAGTGGTTGGGGAATGCCCGAATGAACAGCTTGTAGAAGACACAGCCATGGTTGACCTTGAGATCATAGGCGACCTCATTGAAACCCCAGTGAGTGAGGTATTGAGGATTGTAGTCGGTGGTGTAATGTCTGTCACCACGCACAAGCGAGACGGCATCAGACAAGACGACTCGGGAAATGGTGTAAGTGGGCGCAATACCAACACCAGGCACCATGGGCGTCTTGGCCTCCTCAGCAACCATACCCGGGTAGAGCTCAACGTAGTCAGGATGCTGGTACAAGTTACGCAAAGAGTCAGCAACCTGGGGATCAGAGTTGATCTCCTCAAAGGTGTCATAGGACTTGAGACCAAAGTGCTTGCGGAACTCGTTCAAGCCCGCAAGATTCCACTTTCGGCCGCGGATGATGCCCAGCATCTCTATAGGCTTGAGAATACGAGGTACGTTGCGAGCGCCGAATGAGCCTCCTGGCTGCTCAATGGCTGTGGAAATGCAGTCGACGAGATCGTCATCATCGAAACGTCCGTCGGTACCGCGAGTGTATCCACCAAACACGCAGTCGGCAGGATCCTTGGGGATGCTCATCATGTACTTGTGGAGCGCCATCATGAGCTTGCGCATGTCCATGGTGCCCAAGTCTTCGCCCAAAAGCTCGTCATAGAAGTTGTGCATCCACTCTTCGTCCATTTCGGAGATGCAAGAGTGCCAGCGATAACAGATGTTGAACTCGGCAGAGACGCTGTTTCCGACTCCTCGTTCTGAGCCCTTGGTAGTTCCAACATCCGTGCCGGCCTCCTGGCGAGGGTCCAGAGTCCACTCGGTATCAACTCGGTTCAAATTGATAATGTTTCGCACGTAGTCAACAAGAGTGATGTTGATGTACAAACCAGAAGTCACCAAGCGAGCGGTCTGGAAGAGCTCTTCGTCGTACTTCTTCCAAGCTGCAGCCGCGGCATCTCCCTGAAGGTGAGAAGGAGGCTTGGCAAACCTGTTGCCTTCGTTGATAGCGGCCAGGTTGGTGGCGATGTAGTTGTGGAAGCGGTTGAACATGACCAGAAGAACGCAGACACCGGGAGGCATACCAAGTAGTCTCTTATCGGCAAAAGCGTCCGGCTTCAGCATACCATCCTTGAATGTGCGGATAGTATTCTGCATTTCTTGACTATGGCCGTACAGAGGAGCCAAATCGAGGTACGACGACGAATCGTTGATATTGGCATCTCTTTCGTTGGTCCAAAATAAGTCTATGGTTATAGTTAGCCCTGGTGGTCCTTTTCCATGAATAATGATTGTAAAATCGCTTTACCGTGGATGATAATAGTAGCCCAGTACCAGAGAATGCTCGAGACATTGTTAGGGTTCTTAATAAACTTGTCTCTGGCCATGACGGATTCGAAAACAGCTTCAGGATCCGGCAGAGCCCCCAGAGGCACGACTCCGGGTCTGACTGAGCGCGAGTAAGGAGTCCCAGCCGCGCCAAGTTTGGGCATGAGAGGGTTCTGGGAGATTTTAGTCAGTATCCATTTACAAGAAGCAACTCCTGAGATGAGAAAATACTCACATTGTTGGATCCATCAGCTTGGCGGAAACGAAACTCGTCTCCCATGTACAACAATGGGGGATGATCAAGGGAATACCACAGCTCGTCAATGAACATGTTGGTGAGCACCTCTTGTCGCTTGGAGCCATTGGGCAGCGCAGCTACCAATTTGATGGTCTTCTCCATGATCATTGTCTTGTCATCGGATTGCGTTTCGCCTTTTAGCTTCGAGACGATAATTGCTTTGAGTGTCTTTAGGTCTAAAACACAGTATAAGCAAACGTCATATTACACCAGAAAGCCGCCTTTGGTACTTGCCTGAGAAGGTAATTGTGCTTAGATCCTGCATTAGAGTCGGCCTGTTGATGACCTTTTTGTATGTGCCATCTCCCATCTCATTGGGAAGAGGCCGACGAGAGGCACGGTACAGCTGCATCAAGCCGCCATTTTTGACTGACTTGGTCTTCTTTGCCTTTGCGACAGGGCCGCTGGGGTACTCGACGGTGGCATGATTGCCATTGGGAGCAGCTCTGTTGGAGTTCATGGTGGACAGGGTATTACTACTGGCCGGGTATCACAAAAAAAGCAAATTGTCCAAGAGCAGCAAAAGCTATGCAATGAAGAAAAGAAAACAAGAATCAACTTGCGAGCTCGTGCAGCTGGGCTGTTCCACTGTCTTATATAAGAATCCAGAGAGGGGGCGCCTAATGACCTTCCAGCCGTCATGTTTGTCTCTTAAATGCAGGATGAGGCCGCACAGCAGTAGCTGCAGCATGCATACGGGGTACACCTAGGCATTCCTAGTCAACCACTTACATGCGTGTAGGTGTGTGAGGGTTCGGGCCGCGGGCTACGGCTGAACCAGCAATCTCGGCGGTAGCATCCTGAGATCGACCCTAGGAGCCAAACAATTACCACATCGGAGACGAGGAAGACGAATAAAGAAAGGCGTGGCCGCTGATAGTCCACATAGCGTGCTATCGGGGGGCTTAGTGAAAGTCATGCTTGCACGATCAAAGCTATAATGTCTCTTAGCTTCACTCAGGGGACAAGCAAGGTCGCCATTTCTCTATGCCCTCCTAGCCGCCCTTATTGGAGAGCTTGCAGGTCCCAAGTAAGACATACATGGAGAGGACCGGAGATCATGCCTTGTATAGACTTTCCCAAGCATCATCAGGCCGTAAACTTGGTATGGTAGGACGCAAAGTATTTGTAAGAAACTTTTCCCCTCCTTCGGGTCAGGCACACTCGCCGATGTTCAATGCCATTGGCGAATGGCAAGGCCTTGAAGCGTCTCGCATTGTACTTCGGGAAGCGAATAGGGAGAGTCCCACAAGAGCTATCTCTTCAACTGCGGGTCAAGTTTCTCAGCTCGTGATGCCTAGCGAGTGATTGCAGTTGTTGACTGTACCCAAACCTTGTAAGATGTTGTCTGTAGCAGTACTACGCGGCCGAAGGCGAGTCGTGGTAGCGGTTTCTTGGCTGGCCCTCTTCGACCCACCCCCATCTCGCCGCTGATACTTAGATTGGTCCCGTCAATCTTCCAGCCGCAGAGGCGTGCTAGTCGGCCGTAAATGAATTGCAATGCCGATTCCCGCTAGGTTAGTGCTGCGGACACCCTTGGAGGATCTTGGTCAAGTAGCTCAAGCCGACGTCAGACGCCTGTGTCGACATATCAGAGATATAGCGTCGGGAGTTGGATTTATGAGATGTTGAACCTCCGAGTTACACTTCCGTGGCTGGTAGCGGCAATTGATTTCACACGGCTCTTGAGAAACTCAAAGCCCCCGTGTGCACAGAAAAGTAGAGTCAGTAGCAGTAGCTGCTTTTACTCTTCCATCCCAAGGGAGAAGCTGAACGTCTCTCCCTCCTTTCCTCCCTGCCTGCTGAAAGCTGTCCACGCGCTAAGAGCTCCAAGCTCCATGCACCGCAGCAAGCATGCAGATGGATTCTGAGAAACTCGGCCAATCCTACATCCCGTCGGGCGTGGACGTGGCGGCCGGAAGACTTTTCGCCGTGCAGCTCTCCATATAGGCCCTGGCTTCACGATGTTTGTCTGAGACATGCATATATAGGCGCCAGACTTGTAAGAGTAGATCGCTGCTTAGTCTGAAATATCCTGGCCTAGATTGGTGCTTTTGCCGGATCCACTCGACTAACAGAGAAATGAGAGGCTTGCTTGACACCAGCTGAACTTTTGGTACTACACCTGTTACGTCGAGATGCTTTTGCCGTCTGATTTGGGTTTCCCGATATTTTCTTGCTGGCTTTTGCTGCAGCGATCATTTGGCTTGATTCCAATCATACAATAAGATTATTAATGCTATAGCTGTGCTGGTACCGAACAGAGTGGTAGCAATTTATTGGCGTACCCGAGTGAAGGGTAAGGGACCAGCTCGCCGGGGATCATAAATAGAGAGAGCGGGACCGAATCGGCGATCATGATCCAATCGACGGAAACCCGGAGATCCCAATATGATCCCAAACGAATCCTCCTTGGTACTCACGTATATATTAGAATGGGGAGAGCCTGTTCTCTTCTTATATTTATTTGATTGATATTGGTGCACACTATACATAGCTCTCATCTGGATCTTCTCCAAGAAAGAGGACCAGAGTGGGCGGATCATCTTAGATGAGATGAGATTTCATTCGCTGTGGCTGGTCAGGCCGCGTCCAGGTTGACCTGGGTTGACCCCACCGTCACCGCAAAAGTGATGCTCTTGGCCGCTTTTCATTCTAATAGTGATGCTACCTCGTTGCCCGTTGTCTGGTCGTGCAAGCAGTATTCCATCTGACTCTTGTTAGTATTCTTGGTAGGCTATGCGTTCCTATACACAAGCTCATCATCGAGCCGAAGTATATGTATAGAGGTATTTTGAAATCGTCCATATCCATCAGCGATAAATGCCAACCGCTTTTTGGGATACATCCCTTCATAGACTCTCTCCCAAAAGCTTAGTGTCTTAGCCATGTCCGAGTGACAATTCATTATGTGACGTGTCGTAATAGATGTCTTGTATAGCGTAAGCTCCTTTGTGTTGTCTTTGTGGCACGATATTTGCATGTGTAAATGCATACTTCGACACGCTGCACGTCGGGTTACCCAGCTTCAGTATGGAATACACATTGGCCACTGCTGAGTGGAAACTGGTGAACTTGAGAACTTGAGACCTATGGGTCTTTTGCAAAAAGCTTCCTGAGCGTGGGAGCATCATAGACGCTGTTGCTATGCGGTGTCTCAAATGCGAGATGGAAATCTTATACTAATGACATCGCTATCTCTTCACTGATCTGCGCGGACAATTTCATACTGCCTCGATAGGACTCGATTCGGGTGCTTTTGGCTTGAGTTGGTACACAACAAGGGTATTTTCTCGGCCATGACGATTATGCCTGAGGTGCTCGCTTGTTTAGACATGGCGGTGATTTCTAGATTGAGAAACGTTGAAATTAGGCCAGAGATTGCCGGCGAAATGGGGAGAAAATTCGCTATACTATGGCTGCAGCAGCAAGAGTCCATTGTGATGATTTAGTGATCAAGCTTTAAGCATGAAGGGTTATTCTCTAACGTATTGTCACTGTATCCGTAGATCGACAACTTCCAAGGGCATTTTGTCGCTTTCATACACGTGCCCATTAGGGTGATTAGCTTCGCGATATAGATTATCAATCGAATGTTGGTGAAAGGTCTCTGTGCGAGTACAATTCAGAACATGGTCAAGTCCGGGGGGATGTGTGAGTCGAAATATGCCGTATCTGGATCTAGGGTTAGCTACACAATGCTTAATAAATCCTATGTTTCTTCTTTCTCAACTTACTCATGGTATCTAGGTGCACACACGATGGCAATGCTTTCGGGCATCATGACTTGATATCCTGCGTGTGTGTGGAGATCACGCGAGCTCATGAAGCACGTCTGTGTTGGATGTGTATGTATCCAGCCAAGCATCAGCAGGTCCTCATTCATACAGTAATCAAAGAGAGCACTTTCATTCTCGGTCTCGCACGTGTCGGGGGTGGATTTCTGATCTGGTATCAAGAGGCATCGAACAAACAGAGCGTTGTTGATTGGAGTTCCACAGAGCACACCACACGTCTCTAAGCCTGCCGCCGTGTTCTTTGATGCAATTTCTAGAAACTTGGAGCGCAGGTTGCCTGGGAGAAATATTGACCGAACAGGATCCCCGTTTTCAAGATATCCCCCAGGCTTAAAAGCTAGACGTTCTTTCTTAGGCTGAGGTACTTGTGCGGATTCTTTAGGCGGAAGAGGTGGTTGATTTACATCAACTAATGGTCGCGGAGTAGCATCCAGTGACGGGTAGTCATTCAGCTGGGTCTTGCGTGGTATCTGAGGAGGGATAGCCGGTTCAGGGATATCAAATTTGTCTTCATACCGAGGTGGAGGGACATCAAATTGCTCTTTCGGCGGCCTTGCGGGCTGCGGCTCTCTTGATGATGTGTGTTGGCTTTTCTCGTAGTCGACGGGTCTCGATTGGGAAAGAGACGGATAATAGTAATTATTGGGGGTCACCGGGATGTTTGCTTCCTGGTCGTAAATTGCTGCATCAAAATCTCTGCGTTCCTGGGCCATATCCAGTGTTCGGCGGGTGGCCTCCATTTGGCGTCGGAGATCGGTATCATCGAGATTTGACGTTCTATTTTCCACGCTCCGCCCCTCAGCACTCTCCTTGGTTTTTGAATTTCGCGCACCCCAAATACTGCCATGTTTACTCGTTCGTTTATCTCGTCCTCGACGGTTTAGTTCTTGCTGCGCTAAATCAACCGCCAGATCTTGATGCTCGGAGGCGTCAAGGATGCGTGCATTGCCGCTTAATGTAGGATCCCGAGCGGCAAAGGCCCCATATGATGCTGGTCGCTTGCGTTCCTCCGCTGCGGCTGACGATGCTGCACTTTCCCATTCGTTATATGCACTTTGGATTTCTGGCTTTAGCTGCTCGAGATCTTTGATAATGCGATCGATGCGCTTGTATAGCGACTTGAAAGCCTTCTTATTGTCGGGGTCCTTGATTTGAGGATGCGTGGGCAGAAATTTGAGCACCAGGACGGAGTGTCGATAAAGCATCATGTAGGCTCGTCCGAAATCGCCATCTGATAAAGCGAACGATGCCTTCAAATGGGGTCAGCAATTTAATGGAGAGCGAGGATAAGACACTGCATAGAGTCTCCATTTACCTCTTGATAAAGCGTATCAGCAGCTCTGATCCAATGCTTCATAGCGATATTAACGTTGAAGGCAAAGTTCTCAGCCTGTGCCACGAGCTCTTTGACGCTCTGCGGCCGAGCCGGCGCCATGCTCGGACGAGCCTCCATTGCGACTTTTGCGAGATGGCCGTTTGGATAGTGTCAGAGCGTGTCTCTGCGAATCCTGGCCGCTCTAGAAGAAATATTGCATGCTAGAGGGCAAGGCTGCCGCCAAAGCTGCAGATTTAAAGAGTTGCCTGGGAGGCAGAAGGATTGTTGTTTCTGGGAAGCCTGGCGCAATGACAGCAAAGGCGAAGCAGCACATATGCTTACACGTATTTTGGCCCCTCCAACTAACAATGGCGGGGCAGGCGCTGAAGACTTGGGGAACGGCGGGAGGATTTAGTTGTTTAATTACATGCGCAGGCCGCTTAGCGCAGCGCTCAGAGTGCTATTGCACCTTTTATCGTGAATAACTCTTAAAAGGGGCATCAGAGTCTGATAATGGTTGGGAGACCGAACCACGATTGTGTCCTACAGCAAGCCTTGTGGCACAGATTCTGGCCAACGCCTTTGCCATAAACGTATGTACAGTGATATTAGTCTTGGATTTTATACATCTATCGTCATCTATTTTCCTGGACCGGCTGCCTGAGCTGAGGATTGTAGCTGGATAATCTCAGTCTTCTTCTTCTCGATATTCTCCTGCGTCTCCTTAATCTGGCCTTCCAATCTTGTACTGTGCGCGATGCTTGGGTTAGCTACGATATCAAAAATTCACATGCAAAAGGTGTAGTGACCAACATTTCGCCTCCAATGAAATCGAGTCGGCCCTTGACGGTGCTCTCTGCCTCAAAAGTCTCTTGCTTGAGTAGGACAGGCCCTACAAGTTTGTAGATGACCTCATCTTCGTCAATATTTTCGAATTCCTCCGGAGTAGTTAGCTTTCATGCCATTTGGTAGTTCAAATGTCGCCAGAAGAATGCTCACCTTTTGCACACCAAGGTTTTCCTGCCTCTGGCCTTCCAGCTTTTGACGTGAAGCCACTGTGTTTTGAAGGTCTAAAAGTAAAGTCAATGAAATGAGCATGAGCATGAGTCTCTTGCATCGTTCAAGCTGAGCAAGTGCAGTTAGGAGGCATCCAATACTCACCCTGCTGGAGCTTTTGGTACTCTTCAGAAAGGGACTGTAGCTTGGCTTGAATCTCTGCCATCTTGGGTTGGCAGCAAAGTGTGCTGGCTGTTGACTGTTTCCAACTCGTATGTCCCTAGTAGCAGTCCCGTCTTATGTATCAGCCTAATTCCAATTCCACTGAACACAGACTGAACCAACTTCGCCGACGAGTGCTAGAGTCGAATTGGCGACGCCCCGCTTGGTATCAACAGGCAGCTCCAAATTGCGCCCCGTTACAGAGGTAAGTTGTTACCCCGCCAGCGGTCAAGCCTTCAGTCTCAGTAGCGCAGGTACCAAGTTATTGTCGATGTTGTCGCCTGCTTCTGAACATCATCTTGCGTTCCAGCGCGCTGTTATTAAGCCTGACCTGCCTCTGGTGATCGCCTCGGCTGTCCCTTCGATACCTTCTACGACGGCTCTCGAGTGACACATACCTTGACATCTTCCCCCGCGACAGTCTAGTTCTTGTTCCGCGCTCGCATTTACAATTCCTCGGGCTGCAAAGAGGCGATACCGTCATCATGTCCGTCAACTTTCGAGACCGGGCTATCGCCGAGGTCCAGAAGGCTATTGCCGCGGACAACGACAAGGAATATCAAAAGGCCTTCGATCTCTACATGTCATCGATGGAGCTGTGGGTCAAGGCCTTGAAGTGGGAGAAGAACAAGGCGATCAAGGCCACCATGCAGGAGAAGATGGCCACTTACTTGGACCGCGCCGAAAAGCTGAAGCAGTTCTTACAATCCGAGAACGAGAGCAGCACGAACGGCGGCAAGACTCCTATGGGGGCCAATGGATCTAGCGCGGGAGGCAAAGCTAAGCCATCGGCAGAGGACGAAGACAGCAAGAAGCTTCGCAATGCGCTGTCAGGTGCCATTCTTCAAGAGCGGCCAAACGTGAGGTGGGAGGATATTGCTGGATTGGAGGGTGCCAAAGAGACGCTGAAGGAGGCCGTCGTGCTGCCTATCAAGTTCCCGACGCTATTTCAAGGCAAGAGACAAGCATGGAAAGGTATCTTGTTATACGGCCCTCCAGGAACCGGAAAGAGTTACTTGGCCAAAGCTGTCGCAACTGAGGCAAACAGTACTTTCTTCAGCATCAGCAGTTCTGACCTGGTGAGCAAATGGATGGGTGAGAGTGAAAGGTAAGTTATGTTGCATTGTATGATGGCAATCCACATGCTCTTGCAGCTGACGAACATCTTCCGATAGGCTCGTGAAGCTCTTATTCTCCATGGCGAGAGAGAACAAACCTTCCGTCATCTTCATTGACGAGATTGATGCTCTCTGTGGTCCCAGAGGCGAAGGTGAATCTGAAGCTTCTCGACGAATCAAGACCGAAATCCTAGTGCAGATGGACGGTGTCGGCAATGACAGCAAAGGAATTCTTGTTCTGGGAGCGACCAACATTCCCTGGCAACTAGATGCTGCTATTCGTCGGCGTTTCCAGAGACGTGTCCATATTGGACTGCCCGACATTAACGGGCGCGCAAGGATGTTCAAGCTTGCTATTGGAGATACAGACACTGCTTTGGAGCCTAGCGACTACAACACTCTGGCAACTTTATCAGAGGGCTTCTCAGGAAGCGATATCAGCAACGTTGTCCAACATGCTCTGATGAGACCGGTCCGAAAAATTCTACAAGCAACACATTTCAAGCCAGTACGTTTTATTATCCGCTGATTATGCACTCGTACTCTGCATGCCCTGCTAATCCTATGCGTTCTCAGGTTATGAAAAATGGCAACCGGATGTTGACCCCTTGTTCTCCTGGAGATGACGAGAAGATTGAGATGACGTACGACGACGTAAAGCCGGAGGAACTGCTGGCTCCAGATGTAGCACTCGCAGATTTCGAGATTGCCTTGGCCGATTCACATCCGACAGTGTCCAAAGACGACATTGAGAAGCAGATTGATTGGACTAATGAATTTGGAAGCGAGGGAGCTTAGGGAATGGGCGTGTCTTTGAGTGTACATGGCACAGCGGCGCTTTGAGGAGTTAGAGGGGCATTTAGGCACTCTTTGCACATACAGTTCTGAATTTGGGAATCGTAATCCATTTTACTGGAAAAGACAAAAGGAGCTGTTCATATTCGATTCTTTCACAGTAGATAGTGGGGCCAACGTTTTGGTAGTAAGATGCAGCTTTTCTTAAGGCCAAAGCCCAAGGATGGATTGGCATTGTCGTAATAATGTTTCTTTATTCCAGATAATGAACAATTCCTTGTTTTTCTCGTTCAAAGTAGAAGCAGGACAGATTGCTGAGTGACGATTGTTGCGTCATCAGTGTTTGCAGAATGGAGCGTGGATCACAAGCCTAAGGCCGGTGAACGTGTGCTTGCAGCCCCGCCACACCGAGCCTCACCTTGAAATCTTCACGAGTTGAATAATTTTCAGCTGTTTTCATCTCCTGTTCTTCCACATCGTACCGGCGCAATTTTTACGAATCAACGCCTCTTATTCATGTCATTTTGTCTCCGCCATGGTTGCCCAAGCTTGGCTAGGCCAATGCGCCAGCCCGCCGCGACTTTTGCTCGAGCCGTAGCGACGAAAGCAAAGCCCACTGAGATGCTCAAGGCGACTAGCAAGGTAGCGGAACAGCTCGAAGCGACGGGCATATGGAAGCGGAAAGGCGGTCGGAAAGCCAGCGGTGCTCAAAAAGCGATAGAGCCTCATAGAGTAAACATTGTGAGCGAAAAGCTCTGCGGTATGTATCCTCTTATCTCACTACTGGCTGAATGCCGACGGTAAAAAGCTGCCTGCTACATAAAGTACATAGAACTGACATCTGACTTGTTTGAACGGCGCGGTAGATGATATAATCAAGTATCTGGGCAGCTCATTAGAACGTCACCGAGGATGCGATTTGATTGATCTGAATCCTGGCGCGGGCGTCTGGAGTCGCAAGCTTCATGACTTTTTGGAGCCGCGAAATCACATTATGATGGATCTGGATGCTGAACTGTATAGCCCATTCGTCAAGGATTTGACCTCCAAGGAAAAAGTTCAGCTGATCCCGAAATCTGGCCTCGTATGGAAAGATCTTTTCGAAATGGTAGAGACAAATCTCTCTCACCAACAGGCGCTCTCTGATGGAGCAGAGCCAATGCGCAACGATACGCTCCTGGTTACGGCCAATTTATCCACATTCCCCAAGAAATCCTTCTTGGGCTTCGATAGCATGAGCACCATGGTCATGTATCAGTTCATGTCCAGCATAAAGTCGTCGTCGCTATTTCAGAAATACGGATTGGTGCGGATGCTGCTATGGGTGAATGACGAGGAGAAGCGCCGACTCATCCCCAAGTCTCTAAACCGTCGCAAGCGAGGCTCATTCGAAGCCGAGCTGGCGTGCGAGTGGATTCACGAAGTGGCAGGACAGGAGTTGGAAGCTGAGAACCGGCATACGCTGCGCGACGAATGGATCAACAAAGAATCTGCTCTCAACACACTGGGCAGGATGCAAGCACAGGGCCTCACAGTACCCAGGGGCCGAGGGGTGAAGACATACAAAGATTCGGTAAAATCAAAGAGGCTCATAGGCAAGAAGCTGGCCGGAGTCAACATGCCTGATATTTCACGACCTTTCAAAAAGGAACTAGAAGACCTCGAACACGAATATGTGGAGGAAAGCGTGGAGGCATCCGATCGGTTGAAATTCTTGCGCAGTAGAGAAAAGTACGAAGTCAATCACTACAAATCATTTTTGGAATTGCTGCAGGAGTACGAGAGGATATCTGCAATGAAGGATGATGGCACGGGCGCGTTTGAGCAGGCTGATAGAGATTGGAACGAGACGATTGATAATCTCAAGAAGAACCAGCGAATGGAGTTTAATCTCCTACGAGATAGCTACCATCTATTCCGCCAAGATCCCCCGGCGTTACTGTGGGATCGGCGAGCGTATGAGCCGCTCGCTGCCAAAGCTGACGAATTCTTTCCAAATGCACCGACAGCCCTTCTGGATATCCAGCCCAAGGCTATGCATCCTCTACTGCGACAGATTGGCCCCAATAGCAACCATGCTGGGGACATATCGGATGTGATGCTACGATCCTGGTGGAACTTGACGCTCCTACCAGTGCATAAGGCGATGGATGGCTTGTGGCCCGGGTTTGGGGATTTGATAACGGAGGTCTCTAGCTTGAAGGACATTCAGCGCGGAGGGACGATGATGACGAGACATGGGTCGCTGAGCGCGAGGAGCATCAACGAGGGGCAGTGGACCGAGATAGTCGAGACGTGGATGAGGTGGCCGTTCCGACCTACATATGGGCAGATGCTGGGCAGGATGTCGGAAGATGATAGTGATGGGGACGATGAAGATGTGAAGTCTGGTGCATTTGGATCGATGGTTTAGAGCGTTTGATGACGGCCCGGGGCTTTTCCTGTACGATAAGGGTGTGCTATGGATGCCAAGGGCAATTATAGAAACCAATTTATCTATGTGTATATAGAGATGGACCATACTATAACTGTTAAATATTTGAACAATGGAATTACGAGTGAATGGCATAATTGTACTAATCACAAGAAGAAAGAGCAATATCCATGAAAAATATTAATTGATCATTACTATAGTACAATTGCATAAATCATCGCTCGTTCGCTTAATTTGAAATCTTGGGGTCGACATGCTTTCTACATCGTATATCAGATTAGCACTCTCTACTTTATCCTCTTGGAGAGTCTCGGCCTGATTACTTACCCCGTCACCTTCTCATACATACTTCGGCCGGCATCGGTAATCTTCTCTTGGGTGTTGCGGTTCATGTTGTAGCCAGCCTTCTTGGAGCCCATGCCGAAAGCTAAAACAGTCATATTAGTCATCTAATCATTCTCGATGGCAGACAATGGAAAAGGAGAGCAATTACCCTTGTCAACGTAGTCGTCCTTCTGGACGCCTCCAGCCTGGGGAGCAGCGCCTGGAGCAGCAGCGCCTTGAGCAGCGGGCTGGCCCTGGTTGTTGTGCATAGCGTTCTTGACGAAATCCATGGTGAATTGATTTAAATTTTAAATTTTAAATAATGCAGAAAAGTGGTTTTTGTTTGTAGTTGTTGTCTTGGACTGAGAGCCGATGGTTCAGATTTCGAGTACTGGGAGGGCTGCCTCTTCCTATATATACCCTCTTCACCCCTCACCGGTGGCTTATTCAGGGATCCAATCGAGATCTTTGCGAGCAGCCGTGGCTGATGGCCCGGTCAATCACAGCTGACGAAATGGGCGAATGACGAACCTGTTTTCCGCCGTGCCTCGAAGTCAAGCTCCTACCTAGTTTGGCGCGTCGAACCATGGCTTGCGGCGATGCTGCATTTCTCCGCCTACGTCATAGCCTGGTCGACCGCGTACAGTGCCAACATGTGATACGAAAGCCGGGAATCCACCCAAAACCACCAGAATCTCCAACCAAGGCAATGCTTAATTGGGGAAAACGGCTGTGCGGTCCCTCTGATGCCGATCTTGCATCATAGCACTGCATCATAGCTTATTCTCGATTTACGTATGCCAAGTTTTGCATGGAAGACGCATTGCAAACGGGTTGAGATATTCTAAATATTCTAAATATAGGTTCTGTGTAAATCAACACTACTCAATCTATGCATATTCCAGCTTGATAGACCTTTTCTTGTTGACGTTGAAAGTCTAATGGTTCAAAAACGTCGTTAAGATTTACTGTTTGCCGTTGACCCACTCTGAATGATCACTCCACGATGTACTAGTAAACGACACGCTGCCTCTCTATTATCGCTACATACCTAATAATATTACCCATTTGTAAACAATAGACCCTGAACGCAAACCAAACGTTCCAGCCAAACAAGAAATTCCAACGCCCGCTCATAATGCATGTAAACGTTTTGGAAACATCGTCAAACATCAAACATTCAGATAAGCCTAACCAGCGCGTCAATATGTCATAAGATTGTATCGTCGGTCCTTCCCGATGATTCGTCCAGCCTTGTGGCTGTATCTTCGAGTATTCGATTCCGTTATTGGCCACTTCTTGCAGCTGAGAGTTCAAGCTATGGAAGCTTGATTCTTCCGAACAAGAAAGTCGGCCTTATTATTTCACTTGCCTTCCATCTCTTTCGTTCTCCAGTCGTCATGAGAATTATGACCTGGCAAAGACCTGGTAAGCCATAATCATCACCCAGAACAGAAAGATGGCTCCCGTCAAGGCCATGGCAAAAACCAAGTCCCAGCACTGACAGATCATCTTTTGCTGCAGCCACGCCAGCGTCTCCTGCGTCCTGCCCTTGGGATCCTGGTTGAAGACATTCATATCACAAGTATCCTCAATAGATCCGTTTGGTCCCCATAGCTCGAGAGATACAACGATGAGACCCACGAGCCACATGACGAAGAGCATAAAGGCGCCGATCATGACGATGGCAGGCAGCAGCCGGCGTTGAGCAATCAACCAGAAGATGCCGAATATGAATAAGATCGCAATGGCGCTGACTGTGATGTAGTAGGGAAAGTACCTGTGCCACGCTGCTGTTAGCTTTCAACTACTTCACCTAATGAACGAGGAAGAAGATCATAAACACATACCATGGAATTGGCAGCTCGAGTTGGTTCTGGATCTGGATGAAGTTGCCAAAGACGCCCATGATGGTGCTAGAGCATAGCAGCATGATGAAGATCCAGAAGTTGAGCTGCAAAGGCGGCCAATTGTAAGTTCGAATATGAGTGGTCACCACCTTGCGCTCATAGACGACAGAGGTGCCGCTCAGCATTGAGCGCGATCCCGCCATCATGATGGCTGTAGCAGTACTAGTCCGTCTAGCTTGCACTCGCTCCCGTCGTTATTGTCCTTCGCCGCCACTTATAGCTCTAACGTTCCTTAGAAGTATTGAATCAATTCCCCGAATTCCTTTGTTCAGTTGGTTTTCGAATCGTGTGTCGAGGCTAGTAGTAGGATGTTGTTTGATTTCGACAAGATTCGAGCAATCAATAACTATAGTGGGAAGTGTTTTCTGGTCGTCTGCGTAGAACAATGTCGAGGAAGACCGGTCTGCGTATATAGCTAGAGGGCAGGAGAAAACTCCAAGGGGCCACAGCTGACCGGATCTGGGTCTTGTTGGTTCCGATAGGTGATGCGGTGTGGAGCTTCTCTTGTGCTTCTTTGTTCTTCTTCTTTCGGCAGGCCACCCACAGACCGTCTGATGTGCCGTATCTCGCAGACGTGTAAGTAGTCCTCTGCAATAGGCACTACCGACACAAGGCAGTACGCAAGACAATGCCCCCGTCCGAGCACTAGAACAGAACAGAGGCGATCAACTGCCCCTACCGCCCTGTCGGATGCCGGGTCCTCGATGCGGGTTCCCCCTCAGGGCCTGCTTGAGCGCCCAACCAGCTGCTGTGTAAGAGCCCAAGCCCCCACTGCGGGCGCGGATGTGGATGAAGCGTGTCGAGCACTGATTGATGAGACTCGCTGAGGAATGTCGGTCGAATCAGTCGTCCCCTTGCATGTGCGTCGGTCGATGGAGGGGATGGTGAGGCGTGAACCAGGATGCTCCCGTAGAGACTATCGACGCTCACCGCTTATGAAGAATGCTCAAAGAAGGATAAAAAGTGACAGATGAAAAGAAGGAGAGGAAGGAAAAGAGGATCAGTCAGTGCTACGGCTGTGGTCAACGGCCGATGCGATGCGACAACTCCTGTACATGCAAGTGCGCGCGTTATGACTGCAAACTTGTAGTGGGCGAGGAGGGGCTGCCATTGCTGATGTTAGAGGGCGGTATGCCGATTTTCGCTTTCTGGGTGGCTGGCATTGCTGCTGTCTTCGTCTCTCAGTTTTTGCTGGTAGCTAAAAATAAGATGGCTGGGGACAGTCCAGGAACGGGAGATTCGCAGCTAATGATATCGCTCAGGTACACGCACCGGTTCTGCGGACTAATATAGTGCGTGAGGTCTAAAGCTGCTTTGTTTTTAGGCTGACTTTCCCACAGAGAACTGTTTCGGCCGCAATGTGATGCATTTTCCCTTGATGTAGTGTAAAGCCATTCATATTTTGGGATTGATACTACCTTGCTAATAGGCGGCAAGACGAGTGTTGTCATGCCTTACTTGCTATATATATGTACCTGGGGATGTACTTCGAGCATTGAACCGTAGCACGGTACTGCAGTATGGCCCTTATGGCGGGCAAGTTTTCAATGCCACAACAGCAGAATTTGGTCACATACAGCTTTTCACCTCTCTCAGATCAAGAGCGATGATACAACAAGATATTGAAATGGCCATTTCCACGATCATTAATATTGGATTAAAACTACAACCATTGAATCTCAGGTGTAACTAATACAGTACAAACTCAATTGCACACACTCTTGCAAAGTAGTGCCGTGATGGCTAAGCCACTTACTGACATTTCGAGCCTTCACAGCCTTAACGATCTAACATGCCGTAACAGCAAAGCGCACCTAAATTCCTAAACAAGACATCAATGACGTCTTGTCTTAGATAGCTTGTTGCCATTTACTTTGAGACGAAAGACACGGGCAAGGCCATGGAGATGCTACATCGAAGCTGTGTGTGGCGAGCCGCTCGTGGAATTGCAGTACACCATTGAGCGTCATTGCCTGAGAGAAGGAAGCTAAATCCGGGAGAGACTATGAAGCTGCAAAAGGTGACATGATGCGAAGAAATTGGCATATGGGAGATACTACAGCCATACTCTCTACCTTGTATCGTCTCCCAAGATCATGTGGCACTTCATCGTAAGAGCATATGTGGTGATTAGGCTTGACGTGATTTGGATACAAAGTCGATGTATATACCGGTGTTGACCCCTCACCCCCGTCAAAGAACAGCTTGAATGTAGGAATAGCTGTATTTCAGCTTTCGTCGAATCTGAATTTCTGGCCTTTTTGCCGCTCACATTGACCTTGCACTTGATAGAACGAGTTCTATTACAATTGAAAGTTGTAATATTTAATTTCCGCAATCAATTTATGTGTCACAACTAGAGTAATATTAACGTTTTAAAATTCATCGCAAACTCTCCAGCTCCGTATCGGAGACGCACAAATGATGAAGGCTACCTGAAGTTACGTGGATCCAACGAATTCCCAGGCCATCCCCCCTCTGTTCCGTGGTAATAAGAATTGTTTGTCTTCCGAGACAGACACTTGCAATAGATCATTAGTATTTGGACTGAATATATGTAGAATGCAGCCGCCAGTTGCGTTCCTATCTACCGTAAAATACCCGCTGGGCGAAAGGAAACGCTGCGCCGCGCAAATTGTGCCCGCGAAAGCTGTGTTCGCGGCGCCGTGACCAAGGTACGTGCCAGAGATGGTGTTGCAGAAGCCATACCAGCCGCCTTTCCTCTCACAGTACCAGTCACTACCGGGTTCAGGTCTGAGTGATAATTTCAAGTCTCCGTAGTAAAGGCCAAGGTAGAGGTGCGGCTCTTCTCGAGTTCGGATCATGAGGTGTCTATTTTCAATCCGTTGGTTCACAGGTTGAATCTCCAATGCTTGTGCGGCGAAAATGGATCGGGCCTGGGGGTTGTCTTGGAACGTTTCTCTCCCCCTCAAAGGTATAGCCGTAGATGCAATTGAAAGAGTATCCATAGGTGTGGTATCATTGTTTTCCGAAGCGCTGATGCTGGTATAATCAGGTACTTCTTGCCAGGATTGTCCGTCCATTGTCGAGGTGAATATATGTTAAGAATACTCTACGAAACTCTACATCCGAAGAGAGATTTAAATAAGTTTCGACAATGGGTACCTATACAGTTACAAGTTGCCTGCTACAATCTAAGTGGTTCATATAGGAGAGGAGAAGCTTTCCATGCATTCCAAGCAATCTAAAGTTAAGCTAATATACTTTTAATAGCGTAGCCTGGGGTCAAGGTGAGGAAACTAAAGGGCCGTTTTTAAGTACGGGAATTCACAGTGGGCGAAGTCTAAAACCGCTTTATTATTACCAAGGCTGACTTTCCCACAGAGATCTATATATGTCCGCAATGTAATATCTTTTTCCCTGATATATAAAATGGTTTATGTTTTAGTTTAAATTGTATATTGATAGTCTAAACACAACAGGGCGTTACGAAGCTATGGATAAGTACTTACCTCCCTCTCCAATATTGAGCCGTGCACAGCAATTACACGAGGAAGGTCGTATGATGCTACAGCAGATACCTACTGAGTATGGACTTTATACCGAGCAATAGAACAGCAGCCGATAATTGATCTAGAACAAAAAAGTTTCTAACCCACGGCTCCTTGCCAGTGTTTTCCTACCACTTGCCACCTTCCTCATTTCAGAAAGGAAAAACATGGATATTTGTTTGGCTAATGTATCACTATTTTAACTGACAGTCAATTAAATGATGCTCATGCTTATTTTTTCTCGATGAGAAAGTAATGGCTATAGGTAATTTTTCGTTCCATTAGCTGTGCCACTCTTACATAGGCCCTCACAGGAAATGAGCGCTTGGTCTCTCATTGTACAACAAAACCGAAATGACCACTTCCGCGATCGTCAATCTTGAACAGAAACCATGACCGTTGATTAATCAGGTGTAACTGATACAGTACAAACTCTCAATGGCACATACCCTTGCAAAGTAGCGCCGAAAAAGTCAAGCCACTGACGGTCCTTTGCCCTTTCTTTCCTTGACCGCCAGTCCTCCGCCTAAACCAGCTCTATCTCAGCCCAGACTTACTTCATCCAGAGCTTGTTCTAAACATAATCATCTCTCGCATTCTGAGATGGAATCAATCTAGCGACTAAAGGAGTCCGCTGCTGCCCATCTTCGGTATGGACTAATTGTAGGACCCAATATCCTTAGTCAAAACAACAATACGGAACAAGATGTAGTTTCCTAACAAACTGCCGTAGTGCGATAGTAATGTCTTTTTCCTGCTTTAACATTGGCTCTGTGTTTGACGCTCAGCATAGGTATACTATATAGGTAGTTGTTTATGTTATTCCCGTATATAAATTATTTGGCAATATTAGAGGCAAACTAGGCTGTTAAAAATTGGAACTTCTCAGGCTGCAGACCGGGGCACTGAAGCCATGCATAGTGTCTAATGTATTTGGTTTCAATGAAATCCCAGGCCGTCCCCCCCCCTCTCTTCTCGTGGACCAATGACATCTTATCTTGCGAGATCGCCACTTCCATTAGTTCATTGGTAGAGATCTTTAACTGCTTTAGTACATAGCCACCATTCGGGTCTCTACAGTCTGTGAAATATTCGTGGGGTGTAAGATGAAGATGCTTCGCGTAAATCTGGCCATTGTCGTCGTGACTAATAAACCTGCCCGAGACAGTGTTGAGAAGGCCAAACCAGCCGTCTTTCTTGACACACTTCCAGTAGCTCCCAGCCTTTGGATAAGGTAAGAACATCAGCTCTCCGAAACAAAGAGTGAGGTAGAGATGCGGTTTTTGTCGAGTTCGAATCAAAAGTGGTACTTTGTCTCTAGGTTGAAGTTCTATGTGAGAGCTGTCTTTATTTTTCTGCATGTCTTTCCCTCTTAGTGGCACTCTTTGTGGCATAGATTTAGAAACGGTAGAGTGGGTTGTTGTGGGTGTAGGACAATCTTCGGTGCTGGTGTCATCAGGCACCTCTTGCCAAGATTGTGCATCCATATATAATCAGCAAAAAAGACAGAAAGAAAAAATAGATCAAACGAAGCTCTACTTCCTTGGGGCCACGAGCGACTTAAATACTCCCTGAAACAGCTATACAGAATTACACTTCGCCCATTAAAGTGTAAGTAATCCATATAGAAGAGGAGAAACTTTCCATGCATTCCAAGCAATCCAAGTATGACGAATATACTTTCAATGGCCCGGCCTTGAGCTACTACCTAGGTAAATAGGTGGAGAAAGGGAAAGACTCTTCCTAACGGTAAACTATACGTACAGTCTTTGCTATCAACCTAACGGGTACATGGAATGCACAGTAAGGAAGTAGTGCAAGCCACGAATGGCGGTTTCACAAGGAAAGGGATACTTGGACACTTGTATCGACCAGATTGATTTAACTTGGAATAGAATCTCGACTTGCTTCTTATTTGGCTCAAAATGCGCACACTTCGACTTTATTGAATGTACACCTCGGTAGATGTTGTTGGTTGCGCTTTGTGTGGGATCGGGATTTTCGTGCATGAGCACTTGTACAGCTTTCCAGCCGTCACTCCAATTCGGAGAATATATCCATAGATACACACAAAGATAATCAGTTTGTATATTTTCAAAAGAATCAGCGCAATTACTATACATGCTTGTTCATACATGTTATGCAAATTTCCAGTCTGGTTGTTATATCAATTGCATGCAATGAGCGTCAGACAATACCGCATTTCACTCATCTCCATCTCCACATTTACTCTCTATCATCCGGATGGAACACCAGAGCTCGAACCTCAATACTCTCTCGCGCTGGCAAATCGGCAGCAGCACTTGAGTCCACAAATGCGGTATGTGGCACCCGTCTAGCTCTTCCATCCGTCTTGCTGTCAAAACACTTGATCAAGAGGACCTCCTCAGGAGTCAATCCAGATTTGTAGAACCACCTCTGTGCATCATTATGCCTCACGCCAAGAGTCTCTCCTTTGCGGTTAGGATAGATCAATGCCACAGGCACGAGGTCCTCTTCTGCTACCGAGTGTGCTTCAGCAACGGCCAGCGGATCTCGTTGGATCTGTCGGATCGGCCGCCAGACGTTAATCAGCTGAACACGTCCTTTCAAAAGCTCATCTGCTTCCTCGGGAAGGTGAAATGGAACACGAGAGAGAGCTGCGCTGTAAGACTGATCAATGTGGACGCGATTGACAGGGCCACGGAGAACGCTAGAGGTTGCGCCAGCAACGTCGCTGGGGAGAGGGCGGCGGATGGTATGATCGAAAATGAAGATTTTGGACGCTCCAGTTCTTTAAAAAAACAAAAGTTAGAACATGTAGAAAGAAAAGGGAACGAAAAGGAGGTGGAAGAGATACTCACACGTCCTTGAGAAGCTGTTCCGTCTCTGGGTAGTAATGTGCCTTGATATGATCATCGTCCGCAAAGTCCTTCTCGACTGAAGCATGGCGGTGAAACTGGAATCCAGACTTGTCAAGCGTGTACTTATCCTCTTGGCCCGCAACATCTCTGATGGTCACTTTGTGCTCCTCAGTCGGTCGCTCATTAAATGATGCAGCCTGCCCAGCGTACTGGGGAGCAGGAGGAGAGCCGTCTTCATTATCTTTGTGAAAGTAAAGAATAGTATCTACGTCGTGTTTTGGAATCTTTTGCTGAACATTCTTTTGATCAAGAAGTGGCTGGAACTGAACTCCTTGGACGGAGCCAAAGCCAGAGCTGGCGGAGAGGCTCTGAACCGCTGCTGCTGCCATTGTTTCTTATTGCCTTCTTTTCAGTTTGGCTTTTACAAGATAGTTGAAATCAGGAGATTTTTTAATCCCCGAATTGTAAGGACGTATGTGTGCGTTATAGAAATTTACAGCAGTTTCTGGGTCCGCGTGTCCTATATAGTTGCATTGCACGGGGTTACGTCTAGGTCTACACATTCCCCGCGAGCACGTCATTTTTGACGGCCATTTATCAAGGCAAATGATCACCCAATGAGATCCTACTTATCCAACGCAATCGAAGCACTGTTTCATAATCAAGATTAGTTGCAACGTTTTCCCCTCAATTGTCTGGTCCGAGGTAACTTGATTTGAAATCCGTATTGTGAACTTTACATTCATCGTTCGACCCGATCGAGGCGTAAGAGCGTCGGACAGCTGCCAGATCTCGGAAATAGGGTAGATGTGATGTGTCAAATAGAGTTTAAGCGAAATAAGTGATATCAACATGGTATTACAAATTCTAGTTCTTCCAAAGCTTACGTACTACAGCTCGTCTTACAAACCTATGTGATGGAAGGATGATGGATGGGATCATCGGAGATCATCGGTTTAATGAGAAAGCAGCTGAGTTTGCATCTACACTACTCATTTTGTACCAAATTTCATTCGTTTCATAATTTGCAGACATACATCTTTCGGTTAATCAATGCTATTCGATAGTGAAAAACAGCTGCTCTGGCCTGCCATGACACAGCTCTAGATCTTGGGCTCAGCTTATAGTCTTAAACCCAAAAATATGGGAACTGAAACTTCTCCTCTAATATACACCCATCTACAATTCCCGAGATAAGCGAAGATATGGCTAATTCAGTCGTATTTGTGCACGAGTCGTGTAATAGCCGTCCCGTCACCAAGAACTTCCGTCTCTTCTTCCAGCGTGTAGCCTCTCCACTTGGGCAAAAGAATCGTCCAGACGTACCAGTATAGAACACCGGCCACAATCCTAGTATAGAGTATTAGTTTCCATATAGTTTTTTGGTATTGAACTGAGAACTTGACTTACGTGCTCATCCCCACCACTGCATAAGTTGCGTACCAAAGTCCTCCGGAGGGTCTGTCTTTCGGAGGGAAGAATGGCGCCGCAAGAAGTGCAAAGCTCAAGAGAGCTCGAGCTACAATGGTAAATAGCCATGCTTTATAAGGCCGTTTCAAGTCAGGCCGCTTGAATCGCAACCAAATAAGACCAACGCCCAAAGCAAGGCTAAAGACTTGACCTGGATAGCCTTCCACGTCGAGGATGAAGGAGAATGCTTCTGAAGTTGGTGGTAACACAATGACCAATAATGAGGGGACAAAGTTGACCATAAGGCCTCCTAAAGGCGAATTGAAGGGCTTTGTAGATGCCAGGATTTCTGAGTAAGGCAGAAAGCCCTGCCTGGCAATCTCCTGCTTTAATCGGGCCTAATGATGATACGAGTTAGCTAAAGGGCCTCCACAGCAAACAGGCTTCTTTATGTGATGACTTAAGAATAGAACAAGAACTCGTCAAAGCTTACCATTGCAAATGCGACAACAAAAACATTTCCCACCGCACAGAGAGCAACAGCCAGGGGCAAAATAGTTTTACCCACTTGCTCACCAAAAACACGCCGAAAGAAGAGCGCCGCAATGAGTTCTCCGCTTCCCTTGATTTCATCAACAGGAATCACGATGAAGTACGCGATGTTGATGAGTGTGTACATGGCGCAAGATGTAACCAGTGCAGTCAACGTTACGGAACGCAGGGTCCGTACGGGATCTTTAACCTCGTTCAGCACGTTGCTGATGTTGTCCAGTCCAGCATAAGAGTAGAACACTTTGAATAACCCCGTCGAAATGACGCCCCAGTTCCAAACACTGTCATCCCACAGGTGATCCCATGACAAGGGGTTGCCGCCCGATGAGGTATCTAGTGTCGGCCGGAAAAGTACGACGTAGAGGCCAGAGAAAATCATGAAGATGACGATGCCAATCTTGACCCAGCCGAGGAAATCCTGTATCTTGATGCCCGCCTTGGGAGCTAGCCCGTGAGTCGCCGTCACAACCACCAGCAGAGCAGTGGCCACTAATTTCGCTGCCCAGCCACTTGCATTTTCCACTCCAAAAGCAAAGAATACGTAGCGGCTGAAGATGATGCAGTTGCTGGATGTAAACCCGAGGAATACCGCGTTGATGGCGACTAATGTAGTTGCAAAGAACCGTGGGTATCTATATGTGAATTCAAGGTAGACCTTCATGCCTCCAGACCGCGGCAGCATGCATCCATACTCGAGGGATACGGACAGACCAGCAGCTGCAACAAGCGTGCCAACAATCCATAGTAATAGTGACAGTCCAGGGCTTCCAACTTGCTGCAGAATAGCTCCAGGTGTGGCAAAGATGCCGCTACCGATGACTCTAGATATCACAATAATGTAGGCGCTCTGCCAGCTTAGTGTTCGGCCTAGGGCAGATGTCTCTGGTAGCACATCGTCTTCGATAGCTCGTGATGGCTGAATCTCGCCGCCGGCATTCTCTGTTTCGCTCAACGTCGCTGTCGTATCATATTTGTTGTCATCAGGTCCCGCAGGTAAGGGACTTGGAGAAGCTTGAAGCAGTGGTTGCCGCTCTCCTATATCGTCGCTGCTATCATGGCCAGCCATGGTGTATGCTTTGTCACCGCAGTGGGCTTGAAAGTTGAGCTTGAGTAGATATTATAGCGAGCAAAGTAAATAAAAGAAAGAATGGCCTTTTCTTTTCATTCTCTTCTTATCAGGCACAAAAACGCAAAAAGGAACGCTCTACTGCCCAACGGCCTGTTCGGATTGTCAACAACACCCATTGCTACCCAGAGCCATATTTACGGCGCTGATAAAGCTAGAGAGGCAATGTACTCTGTCATCCCGGAGATCCCATGCCATCCAGGGCCAGCATGACATACACACGAGACGCGTCCTCGTCAGCCAAAACGTTTATTGCGCGATTGGTTCCATTAATAAGGCAGACAAGGCCGCCCGTGGCCAGTCGTTGAGACACCCAAATTCCATGGCGCGAATCTCAGGCGCTCGCACGCCATCGACTTATTGCCGCAGATAGGAGGTAAGCACTTGGGCGCTGCTTAGCCTTTCTGCTAGCGATGGAGAAAGTGCTTAAATTCTAGCGATGCTATCTTTAATGATAACATGTCTGCGGAGTATACTATCATTCTTTGCCAGTTGTTGACATGCGTCATAGTAGTACAGGGTATATAGTTCCAATGCGCGACATTGAATTGCTGCACGCTCTTAAGTTGAACCCCAGATCCGCTTCCCTACTAATTTTCTCGACGGCATTGTCTCACTTGTAGCACGCTTGCTACTAAAATTCTAAAGAGGCTCGCAATTATTAGCTCAGGGGAACTGAAAGCCAATTACATACTCAGTTTACATGGGTAGCTCAGAGTTTCAACTAGCTGGCTTTGTCAACTGCGCCTCCTTTTCAGCCATCCGCCTTATTATAAATCAAGAATAATTCAGGCCAGGCTTGCACATTGTCTGAGTTTATGCATTCTGTTTCAAAGTGCAATGACTTATATATCGTCGCATTTTATGAAAAAAGCACCACTCTATTCTATATGGCCTTTTCAATGAGTACATTGCTTCATCCAAGCGTAAAATGAGCCTTCTAAAACACTATAACATCATATCTTAGGCGTAAAATGATGTGCATTTGAAGCTCGTAAACTGCCCATCTATTTGCGGACTAAACACAACACTGTCTGCCTCACAGGCATTTGCTACTTCTCCATGAGATCCCGGACAACAAGGAGACAGTACTTTTCAGAGTTCGATTCATAAACCAGAGATCGCAATCTCTCTAGGGTAGCGCCTTACCCACTTCAATGCCCAAAACGTGGAGTTGCTACGGGCGATCTCCCGACCGATCTGATCACGATGAGATCGGAAGCTGAATAGTAATACACTAAACCACAGGACCACTCCAGACCGACTGCCTCATAAATTAGCCCTGCAACTATATCTCATTTGGTTGGCCTTATAAGAACTAGTGTTTTATATATCAGCCCCCCAAAGAAAATCGAATGATTCTCTACTTGTCTAGATACGCATTTCACTGGTGTTTCATTTGAGGCTAGCTACAAATCCGACGCAATTTGCCTCTTCAGCCCCTTCAACTGATGGTCCTAATCCACACGAAAGGTCTCGGCCCTCTGTCTGCCAAGGAAGGGAAAGAAGCCGGAAAGTCCACGACAGTCTCCCTTTTTCCGGATGGCTGTCATGTATCGAGCCGCCACACCCCTCCTCCATGAGTTCTGTATTCTACACCTTCAAGATCCACAATTGACGCCGGTTGGGCACGAGCTGAAAACTGTTCAAAGATCCTCAGCCTATCATTACGGTACTGCAGTGGCCGTGTTATCGGTGACTTGAAGCGGTGTGCTGTCGGTGATCCTTGATCCTTGCGTCGGCTTGATTGGCTTGGATCGTGGACGGGACGGGACGGGCTATGCGTGGCCACACGGTGAAAGGCTTTCTTTATGTTACAGTACCTTGCGGTTAATTCTAGCTACTTTTGCGAATATATATATATATATCCTATTTGTATCCTATATTTGAGTGTGCTTTTGATCTACCCAAGGTCCTATATTGGGATAATCATTCCCAGGTTATACTCGAATATGTGCTTTGTGAAATTGAAGCAAACGTAGGAACCACAGATAGCTGTATATCAAGATTTAAGGAAGTGGAGATAGCGATTGTGGCAATCAGTGAAAGTAATGGATCAAAGTGAAACCCTACAAGTGACATGCATGTACCGATGTGTGTTTCTAAACACACTCCTCATCCATGTGTCGGGTATGCCCGCCCATAGTGCTTCGGTCGATAAGTAAGGGGGCGTATCCTTGGCCTCTAGTCTTGAGACCTCCCTGAATTTTAGAACCAGTACCCGGAAAAACAGCCAATACTACTCGTAATATGATGATGCTCACGCCCTTGCTTGGTATAAATGACCCTTGTCCAGCTGAATTGAAGTGTCTGGGTATTCTGTGGCTGCAGCGGGAAACAAAATAGTACAACGGGCTATAGTACTACAGTAGAGTATAGTGCTTAAGCATGACGTATTGTTCGTCTATTTGAACATCAGGATCCCGGGAGGATGTGATATGTCATCTGGCCGTTCCGTGCATATTGTATGTACTCTGACAGGTTGGTCTATGGAAGCATTCTAGCTTGGATTCCAGCGAGGCTACTTCAAAATATGTTTATTATTCGTTATCTGAGTATGCGGAACATATCAAGCGGGAGCACAGACCCACGCCTTGGTTGAGTCGTAGTAGCAGCGATGCTGTAGCCGATGAGACAACAAACCGAGATAACAGCCCGAGACAACAATCCAAGACAGGAATCCAATACAACAATATTGGATGGTGTGAACGTATAAAGAGAAAAGAGACAGCTTTTGTAATACTGTATCATGCTTATTTTGTGAATTTTGGCTGTCATCGAGTATAATTATAGTACGTATATATACTGCTCCTTGCAGATAGGTGGTAGGATACCTGCCTTATTTGTTCAAACTTACGCTACTTGTTTCACCCTGTTGATGCTGCCCCTGCCAAACATCTAGGTCTCAATTTGCCTAGTTTCCGAGAACCATGTTTAATTTGGGGGCTGATTTCTCCTGTATAAATTAATTTACGCGCAAGTCTTGTTGCCTCTTCTCGGCACTGGGCTTGTGCTTCGTTTCTCAGGTTTCAACAATTCCGCGGAGATGTGCCACTGTGCATATACGTAAGCGTGCTTCGACTTTCCATGCAGTTCGATTCATACTCTCTTTTGCTATGTTACATTAACGCTGCCCAGAGCCTTGCAAAGTGAAATCGTATACTTTCTTTACTGTTGCTTTTGCACGCGTATATCTTACACTAGAACTAGCAGATGCATACATATTTCGAAGCTGGGGCATGAGTGATACAGAAGCTAGCACACATGCTACAAGCGACGGAAATATCTTTCAAAAGAGGTCTTGTTAGTGAAATTACTCCACGAAAGAAACAGCAGGGTGTCAAAGTTGCCTGGAATGATACATCGAGTTAACAGGCTACAAAGCAATGCAGCCAATAACACTGCGCTTATTGCCGGAGCCACCTCCGTATTTTTCAGGGTTGTTGGAATGTCGGCATCCTTGTACGTCACCCGTCAAAGCTGAAAATCTGCAAATTGTCCAAAACATCCTTGATTTTACGCACACACATATCCCAGCAACGTATTAATACGCACATTAACCTTTGCTCTGCAACTGTGTTTGCGTTGAGCCCAGAGTATTGTAACTTCAGTAGGCGTTGTCAAACTGGTCAACATTTCTATTCAAGTAGCTTGTGAAGAACAGCCACGGTTTCGTAACTGGTTTTCACTTTATACCAGTGTTAAGTAGGACATGTTTCATTATCAAGCTACCTTTTGGCATCGCCTGGCTCAGGTAGCAGTCCATGGTGGTAGCGAGGCAAAGCGGTTAGAAAAAAATCCACCGTGAGGAGGTGATAGATGGAACGGCCAATTGCAAAAGTCTGCGGTAAATCAATAAAGGTCACGCCTGGTCAGTATAAAAAGGAAAGAGAAAAACTAAACGCGATCGTCAAACACCCTTGCTCCCACCAATGCCACACTAAACACCTATGCTGAGTCGCAATATCTGTATGGCAGTGATATACCGTTACACTCATTTCCGTACGACTTTTCAGCTCGTCGCTTAACTGAAATCTCATTTCCTCTTGCGGAATATGAATGAGAGCCACCGTTGCTCCCCCGCTCACAATGAAGATATGATAGTGAGATAATGGTAATAAGTCACGTCTTGTAGCGTAGCGCTAGCAATACCAAAACCCATGTGCCATTATTCATGTCACATCTACGGTGGCGCCAAGGGTAAGCAGCGCACCTGTAGACAAAACCAATTTTTACGATTTTAGAAAAGGTCACATAGAACACACATCGAACAATTGCTACTACTAATGGGTAGCTGATGGGTATAACGCCAATTAGCTTCATCAAATCTCACAACAGTGCTTGATGCAATCTTTAAGTGAGACGGCATCGATTGAACAGCCTGATGTCACTGAACGAACTAGATACCCCTGACTTTAGCAGATATATCAGCTCGCAAGTACCAAGCCTAAAAGCACTTGGAGCTACTTTTAAAAAGCAATTCTGCCTGCAGCACAGCATCTGGATGTCTTGATTCGTTCTCGCTTTTAGCACTGCTATCAAAGCTCCATGACCAAGCCTCGACAGACGGCCTACTCTGAGACAATAGTCCCAAAAAAAGACAAACGCAACACCCCGTTATGGGGCAAGGAGGTTCCTTCGCTCCAGACGACCGGGCGCTTTGGACGGCCGCAAAACATCTACCCGACGCTTTTTGAACGCCTACCAACAGAAAGGCCGTCGATTGACGACATCATGCGGAATAATCAGTATCAGACGACAAAAAAGAAAAGGCATCCAATAGCGCCGCCCATTTGGGCCTAGCCAAAGTCATCATCCATGCATATTCGTGAAAATTACAAAGTGTTTAGATCCAATCGCCGCCGCCGATTCATAGCAACCTGGCATATTCTCAGCATCGAAATTTGCGCCGGGTCTTCGGTGCGGCATGCGATCCTGGC